CGCCGCTAATGCCGCGGCCAAACACATAAATAACACATCTGAAAGTGAAGCGTTACACTCAAATATACCGAAATATAGCACAAACTCACCTGTTTTAATATGCATCTCTTTTCGCTTGATGTGTCGTTGAAGCTAAACCGTTGAGTAACTTGTTTACAGCGTTGAGATAACGACAGCCTGCTTGTAACCACCACCCGGAAGCGACACGAAAATGTGGGTGGGACAGGAAGTGCCTGCAGATAAGTGGTCCGGCGGGAATCTCGCCGTGAATTTAACCCTCCACTTCACACATTGTGATAGTGTATGCTTAAAATTGTTCAGCATTATTTTCTGACACATTTTGGACCATTTTATTGCCAAAAAAAAAAAATGTTATATTTCAGACACCCGTTTCCGAGATATATCCACAACTTGCCCCTAGGCAACTAGGCTTGTATAAAACAGAGGCAATTACTAACTCATAGATCATTACACAATTGTTGGAAAGCAATAAAAAACATAAGAAAATCGTCCAAAAATGTCAACCAATTTTGATCAAAGAATTGAAAAAACACATTTAGATTATTTAGCTTTATGGCTTGATACAGGCTTAAGTTCGAATTGTCCAATATAATGTCATATTGATTCTCATGTTGTGAGACTTTGCTGTCATTCTGTGTGAAACTTAATAAAAACAGTTCTTTTGTGCTGTAAAACAGAGCCGCACATTACACTTTATAGACATTACCTCTGTTTTTTCTGTGCACCCGGGAACCCTGCATCTTGCCTTGTTCAATATTGTAATGCAATTAACCTATAACAATGCAGAGAAAACCCTGACAATTAGACGAGCCCCTATAAGCAAGAACATGGCTACAGTAGAAAAGGTAAACTCCCTTTTAACAGAAAGAAAGCTCCGACAGAACTAGACTCAAGGATGGGCGCTGTGGGTCTCTGCTTCCTTGTTTTCTCTTCATGCTTTTGAGATATCCCACACTGGATTTGCACAGACTTTGAGCAATTTTGCATTTAAAACCACATTTTCATTTTCAGGTGCCCCTACACCTGGAAGCTCAGACAGATGGACACACTTTCCAATGTAAATTTAGGATTGTAAAAATAATAATCTGATATCATTATTATTACTTGGTGCTACATGAAATAATATTATTATGAAAAAACACACAGTTATCAAAGTCTTCCACAAAAGTACCCCTTATCGCACAAAGAAAAACTGAATTTCTGATCAGGCAAAGTAAAAAAAAGCAAAATTAAAAACAAAAACGCTCTCCACATCTTCTTACACTCACACGTATTTTTGATTTAGAGTTTATGTCATTTTAAATATGATGGAGGAAATATTCTTACCTTCTTCTCACATCATGCGATCGTGTCACTGTGTCAGAAAAGGATGCCCGATGTTCAAATCACGCTTCATAGTGATTCCCACATCTTATTGAACTGAAATTAGATACCTTTCCAAACATTCTGATTGATCATTTAAGTTCACATGTACTGGGCCTGAGGCTTAAAAATGTTCTGTGTTGTGCTGTAGAGGATTAATGTACAAAACAGACTACCATGACAACTCATGTGAAAATCATGTGGACACTTTATGTCAGATACAATTTTGTGATTATTATTGTTACAACACTCATTACATTACTTTTTCATTATTCCACAAAATGTCCTGAAATGTATTGTCTTATAATTACAGTTAACCCCTCTGAGGTAGTGTTAGAGCATGGTTCTTAAGCCCAGGTCCTCTGCCAGAGGCCTGGAAGTTTGAAGGTTCTGCACGGTATCCTTGCTGTTCCTAGGTCTGCAGTTTTCTGAACAGACACCTCTGTCTCTGACCTCTGTGACTGTGGAATCTTTAGAGCCAATCTTACAGCTTGGCAGTTGCAGCTCTTAATGCTTCTATTGCCACCGGGACCAGTTGTTCTTCTAGCCACTGTTACTTTTCCTGTGCTCCATCCTGATGTTGCTTTCAGCTGGGATTGCCACACATGTCACAGCTGTGATCTTCTGTTCCTTCCAAAGCACCACTATATCTAGTTGGTTGGCCAGCAGCTGCTTTTCTTAGCCCTGTGTTCTCAACCACCTTTGGTGGTAATGATAATTGGAGACTTCTAATCTATATAATAATAATGGATTGCATTTACAGTGGCTTGCAAAGGTATTTGGCCCCCTTGAACTTCTCCACATTTTGTCACATTACAGCCACAAACATGAATCAGTTTTATTGGAATTCCACATGAAAGACCAACACAAAGTGGTGCACACGTGAGAAGTGGAACGAAAATCATACATGATTCCAAACATTTTTTACAAATAAATAATTGAAAAGTGGGGTGTGCATAATTATTCAACCCCCTGAGTCAATACCTTGTAGAACCACCTTTTGCTGCAATTACAGCTGCCGGTCTTTTAGGGTCTGTCTCTACCAGCTTTGCACATCTACAGACTGAAATCTTTGCCCATTCTTCTTTGCAAAACAGCTCCAGCTCAGTCAGATTAGGTGGACAGCGTTTTTGAACAGCAGTTTTCAGATCTTGCCACAGATTCTCGATTGTATTTAGATCTGGACTTTGACTGGGCCATTCTAACACATGGATATGTTTTGTTTTAAACCATTCCATTGTTGTCCTGGCTTTACGTTTAGAGTCGTTGTCCTGCTGGAAGGTGAACCTCCGCCCCAGTCTCAAGTCTTTTGCAGACTCCAAGAGGTTTTCTTCCAAGATTGCCCTGTATTTGGCTCCATCCATCTTCCCATCAACTCTGACCAGCTTCCCTGTCCCTGCTGAAGAGAAGCGCCCCCAGAGCATGATGCAGCCACCACCATATTTGACAGTGGGGATGGTGTGTTCAGAGTGATGTGCAGTGTTAGTTTTCCACCACACATAGCGTTTTGCATTTTGGCCAAAAGGTTCCATTTTGGTCTCATCTGACCAGAGCACCTTCTTCCACATGTTTGCTGTATCCCCCACATGGCTTGTGGCAAACTGCAAACGGGACTTCTTATGGTTTTCTGTTAACAGTGGCTTTCTTCTTGCCACTCTTCCATAAAGGCCAACTTTGTGCAGTGCACGACTAATAGTTGTCCTATGGACAGATTCCCCCACCTGAGCTGTAGATCTCTGCAGCTCGTCCAGAGTCACCATGGGCCTCTTGGCTGCATTTCTGATCAGCGCTCTCCTTGTTCAGCCTGTGAGTTTAGGTGGACGGCCTTGTCTTGGTAGGTTTACAGTTGTGCCATACTCCTTCCATTTCTGAATGATTGCTTGGACAGTGCTCCGTGGGATGTTCAAGGCTTGGGAAATCTTTTTGTAGCCTAAGCTTGCTTTAAATTTCTCAATAACTTTATCCCTGACCTGTCTGCTGTGTTCTTTGGACTTCATGGTGTTGTTGCTCCCAATATTCTCTTAGACAACCTCTAAGGCCGTCACAGAGCAGCTGTATTTGTACTGACATTAGATGCACACAGGTGCACTCTAGTCATTAGCACTCATCAGGCAACATCTATGGGCAACTGACTGCACTCAGACCAAAGGGGGCTGAATAATTATGCACACCCCACTTTTCAGTTATTTATTTGTAAAAAATTTTTGGAATCATGTATTTTCGTTCCACTTCTCACGTGTGCACCACTTTGTGTTGGTCTTTCATGTGGAATTCCAATAAAATTGATTCATGTTTGTGGCTGTAATGTGACAAAATGTGGGAAAGTTCAAGGGGGCCGAATACTTTTGCAAGCCACTGTATATAGCACTTTTCTAGGCACCCAAAGCGCTTCACAATTCCACTATTCATTCACGCACTAGTGCAGGCAAACCACAGTTGTAGCCACAGCTGCCCTGGGGCAGACTGTCAGAAGCGAGGCTGCCATATCGTGCCATCGGCCTCTCTGACCAACACCAGTAGGGTAAAGCGTCTTGCCCAAGCTTTCTTTTTCCTTTTGAACTACATGTTTTGTCTCTCTTTAGACCTCTACAAGTTATTTAAAGCACAATCAAAATAACACAGTTCACTGTCATGAATATGCTGCTACAGAATAAAAAATATTCCAGACTTAGCTATCCAACAAACAGGAGGGTCTAAGACTGGGCTGTAAAGCAAACATTTAAAGCCTGCTTCAGTGTGATATTCAGCCCACTGACTTCGTGTTTAATCTTTAATTCAATTTGATGAGCCAAAATATCAGAGCAGTCACTGCTGATGTACCTTTAGAGACAATGTATAGATGATGTCCAGCTTGAGCGGACTGCTAACATCCTACAAGATGATCTGTAATCTATTATTCTGCTCCAGTGATATTTACACAGATGGATGAGTTAATCAACATGTAAAACACTAACAACACAGTAATTTAACACAAGCTCACACTGGATGCAGTCCTCATCCTGTGCCAGTGGTTTCATCTAACAAAAAAAAAAAAAATCTGTCTTCAAGATCCTTCTTCCAGATTCTTCCACTTTTGTAACTTCCCTTTCTGTACCTCATTCAAATTTCTTTAGCCATCCTCCTCTTTTCTGTAATTCAGATGTTACACTTTTTTTGCTCTCTGCTTCTGTGCTTTTAAAGATTACAAATGGTTTTCTTGATAAGCCAAAACATAAATCCATAAATCCTCCATGTAGTGGCATCAGTGGGAAACATGTTTCAGGACCATCCCCACAGACAGAGCGGCCAGGAAAGCAGAAGAACACCATGTCAAAAAGGCCCTGAGTAAATGTGGTTATTCCAGCTGGCCATTTGTCAAAGCTGGGAAGACACTTAAAGAAAGCTCCAGGCAATCCAGGAGAGGAGGAGGACAACGTAGGCAAAAACCCTTAGTGATCTTATGTGTCATGAGTATTGGAACAGCTGACATACATTTTCTCAAAATACTGCCTATCTGTGGCTTTCAAACCCCAAAACACGTTGCGCCAAAAATTGGTCCGCAGCAAAGATCCGCTCCCCTGGCACAAACACAGTAATATAGTGCCAAAAAACAAAACAAAAAAATACACACAGTGAACTAATTTAAGGCTCTTTTTATTTTAAATGACAACAGTTATGTTGGAGCAACGAAGTGATTTTCTCCCAATAGCTCAAGGACTCAATAAATCCACCTTCTCTGAGTGTGTGCGCATGTGTCTCTTCAGCCTCGTAGACGTACAGAAGCCCTTCTTACAGAATGCGCAGCTGTGTGGCTTCTCGCCGGTGTGAGTCCGTACGTGTATGTTGAGGTCTGATGAGCACCTGAACCTCCTCTCACAGTAAGAGCAAGGGTACGGCCTCTCTCCAGTGTGTGTGCGTTTGTGCAGGAGCAGCTCCCCAGAGGTCAGGAAGGTTTTCCCACACTGGGAGCATGAGTGTGGTCGCTCCCCCGTGTGAGTCAGGTTATGTCGGACGAGCGAGGTGGACTTGGAGAACCTCTTTCCGCAGCGGCCGCATTCGAACGGGTGCTCGCCTATGTGGCTGTGGAAGTGTTCACTCTGAGCGCGCTTGGTTTTAAAGCTCTTCGGGCACTGAGGACAGCTGAAGGGCCGGAAGTTGCTGTGGATGCGCTGGTGCCTCACAAGCTCTCCGTGAGTGAGAAAGGACTTCTGGCAGGTGGTGCAGAGGTATGGCCGCTCCCCTGTGTGGATTCTCTCGTGGCGTGTGAGGCTGGCCAGCTGGGTGAAGCTCTTCTCACAGTATGAGCACTGGAAAGGCCGCTGGCCATTGTGAGTCAGGAGGTGCCTGTTAAGGATCTGAAGCTGCGTGAAGCTCTTTCCGCACTCTGCACAGGGGTGGGGACGCTCTCTGCTGTGGGTCTGCTGGTGCTTATTCAGAAGCCACATGTGGGTGAAGCTTTTCCCGCACTTGCATGGAAATGGCCGCTCACCTGTGTGCTTCATCTGGTGTCTCTTCAGGTCCGAGGCTCGGCCGTAGATCTTCTCACACATGGGACATTTGTACTGACGCCTTACGATGTGCCTCTGCCTGTGCCTCAGTCGATCCAGGATGCTGCTAAAGCTCTCACCACATTTCTGGCATTTATACTGACCGCCCCCCTTCTCTGACACCACCTCTGTCACCACCACCTCTGTTGTTAGGTCTAGCTGAGGGTTGCAGGTCTGGCCACAAGCTGTTCGCTCAGAATGCAGTTTGAGCAGCCCCATCTGAGTGAACCGTTTGCCACAATGAGAGCAAAGGAAGGGGCGCTCTCCAGTGTGGATGCGCTGATGTCTGGTCAGATCCCAAGAGTTCTTGAAGCCCTTCCGACACTCCTCACAGGTGTACGGGCGCTCGCCCGTGTGGGTCCGCTGGTGACGAGTCACGTCCGAGACCCGCGTGAACGTTTTGCCGCACTCCTGGCATGTGTGTGGGTCGGGCCTGTTGTGGATGGGGAAGGGCTTTGGGAACTCAGGAGGGAACGTCTTCTTGGGGGTCTCACATGTCTGTGCAGCCCTCTGGAGTTTGGCGTATTGTTCAGGATGGCTGTGCTCAATGTGCTGCAGCAGGTAGGACTCTTGCATGTGGAAGAAGGGACACTCTGAGCAGGCAAAGACCTGGGTGGACATCTCCACTGTGGTGCCTACAGAGAAACACAAAAGTTAAAATGTGCAACAAAAAAAGAGAGAAAAACTCACCTTAAAGTGTAGATGCCTCATCTAAAACTTTAAATGACAGTTATTAAAAGTGAGACAGCAAACCTTGAACAGCTTTAAAGTGACTAACTGATTTACCTTGGGTGCTGAGGTGCTCAAGGCATTTGTGGTGTTGCAGGAGAGACTTGAAGTCACTGGGATTGGAGAACACCTGCAAGCAGTCCTTCAGCACAGAGGGGGCATAGGTAAGCCAGGAAACAGTCTGTTTGATTATGGAAAAAAAAGATTCAGTCTGAAGAAGTTTAAATTCCAAAAGACAACTGTTTTGAAGAGAAGGAGGGGGAATGGTGATTAAATATGAGACGTGACCAAATAGTCTCGGGAACCAGCTCACTAAAATAAAATAACTTTATCTGATTGAAATTTGCCCAATCTCACCTTCAAGATCATCTTCTCATGTATCACTGGACTGCTTTCACTCTGGCTGTTGGTTTTTTACCTGGCTTCTTGGGAAACCTGTTCTGTCCCTGTTTACTTACAGACTGGATCTTTGTTGAAGGATCACAGTGTGTTAAAACAGTAATCCTTCAATGTGATATTCATTCAGGTGAGTCAGTGAAGTCTTGGGGAGTACTGAGTGAAGACACAGTCCTACTAACAATCAGCCAACTGCAACTAAATGCAACACTTTTACAGCAGAGCTGTGCACTGACAGTTTTCACCCTGTGGGTACAAATTCAAACGTGTAAAATCCAGTGAATGCTGGTGAAAATCAGGGAGGTTCCTGGTAATTAATTTCTTAATCGACCAAACAATGAAAAAAAATACTTGATTAACTGCTGAGTAGTTGAAAACTAAGAAGAAAAAACAAACACTGAAAAGGCTAAAGATAGGAAAAATGTATGTATATCTTTAATACTACATGCACAAACTACTAATACTGTTACTCATCTTCAGTACCTTTGGTGACTGCTGCCCAACCATTCAACAGTGTTTGATGTATAGAACAGTATTTTATAATAATAATGAATCTTATATGGCCAATATTACGCTTTCACGTAGGCCTACCTGACCGAGGTCTGGCACCGGCAGAAGTCTTTCTAATTTGGAGAGAAACTCCCACACAAGCAGCTGCATGTCCGCATCATAGCTGAGGCCATATTCTGTGGGGAAAACCTCCTGAGAAGAACAAACATTAACAGCTAGTAATACAAAAAAAAGTTAAAAGGAAGAAGATAAGAAATACATGGATTGGCTACATCTAAGAGCATTTGCCTGGTAAAAATGTTCCCTCTCTGCTGGGTCTTTCAGGAGTGTTTGGGTTAGCTCCACAAAGATGGCCTCTTCTGCATCCACCTCTGCATCCCCACTCTGAAAGAAATCATTACAACTGAGATCTTCGTCACTATCAGACCAACAATAATGATAAAGGATGAAAAATGATCTTGGAAAGCTAACATTTATATTTGATCATCCACTGCATATTTAATGGGTGATTAGAATCATTATTCTGTTTTAGAAGCCATTCTCCCTCTCTACAGAATATGCAGATTAAACTAATCCATACCTCTCACAACCAGTAAAACGTTCCACATGACACTAACAGCAACACAAGCCCTGAATGTGATCAATCCACCGCAGCTACATTACTGGTAATACTGATAAAATATGTTGTCTCTGAACGCAGCTTTGCTCATTGCATTCAGAAAGCTCTATTTTAACTCTACCAACAGACTACGCCTGTTTCCAAAATGTATCGCCTTTCACAGTTTGTTATCAGACTTCTGATGCTGGATTTAGAGGTGAGTTCAGATGAAATGTTTCCTCTGCAAGGTCTTCACTCACTGAACTTTTAACAGTAACACAACTTTGGACCTGGACTTTGGACTTGTTCAAAATGGTGCTAACACTTACTCCTGTGTATCCCGGTGGGTGGATTCGCTCTAGGTGAGGCTGTACACACAGGATGTTGGCTGTTTCCTCATTTCTGCACAGCTCAAGTATAACCTGAAGCAACAGGAAGGTATTCATTCAGCTACTGTCACTGGATTACCCACTTGTGGAGTGGAATGCATTTCTGTGCACCTACTGACTCACTCTGGCTCGCAGCCGAAGCAGCAGTTTTCCTCGTTGCTTCGGATTGAGCAGGTCCGGAACTGATGCTGTGACCAGTGTCACAAATTCATCAAGCTTTTCATAGTCGAGAACATCCCTCCGTTGAGCCACCTGCCACATGGCTGCAGAAATCAGCCGCATAGGAGGGATCAGCAGTCTTAGGGATGACAACGGCAGGAATATATCTGATTAAACACACACAGTGGAGAGAGTTATGTCTTTTTTGGAAAGTCAGATGTCCTCTTGTGACAGCTCGGCAAACCATCTTTATAATTTAGCACCAAGAGACAAAGTTACAAGAAAATCATCTGTGAACAGGTGCACAGGTGCTAAGCTACTGTGGGTATAGATGAAGTCTAGTCTTCTCAAGACGTTGTGAGCCACGTAAGCCTCAACAAAATATTTCACAGGAACTTAAAGAAACATCAGAGAGATGCATGAAGGTGGGAAAAAATGGGTGTTTTTCAGGGTGCTGCCTAGATTAAAACACTGCTCTCCAAAGCAGCACTGTAACACATGTCGGGATTGCAAAAAATAATATAAAACATCCAACCTGTTTTTCGAGATAAAAGTTGAACTTGTTGGCAAAACAGTCCAATAACCTTTTGAGAGTACAAAAGTACTGTTTCTATAATTGGGACTCAGGTGAATTTATGGCCACATATTACAAGCAATCGATTAAAAATTCCCAGTTATTTCAAAATATTTACAAACATTTCCAAGATAGCTTAATGTTGCCATTTATTGAAAGTATATTTAATTACTCACACAATATATCAGAAATAGAAATTTAGTCATGTTGAACAGTATTTGAATATAGCCCAGTTAAATTAGCTAAAAACAGATTAACTAACTTAAAATCATAACACTAAGAACAAATTTACTTAAAAAAACAACACGAATACAGTGAACATATTGTATGAACCTAAGTATTAACGGTTAACCCATTAAGTTTTCCATGTTTACATTAGCATAGCTAACTAGAATCACTGCATTTAGCCGCGGCGAGGAGCTAACGCGCACACACATGGGCGGCCTGGCTCGCGGTACCAATGAACGCTGCTGTGACACGGACCTGTGCTCTCAACTGGACCGCTTTCCATAACGCAAACTACACGAATTCCTTTAAAAAAGTCACTAGAAAGCTGCAACCAGCAATTAATTTGCTATTAGCCCTAACGCAAAGCGGAAACACGTGGGCCAATGTGTGATTTCCAAAATAAAAGCATTAACAAGTGCCCAAAAGTGTAAAGAAAAAAAAAAAGCAGCCCCGGTTAATTCAAAACATTTAAGTCATTAGCTAAACAGTTGCGCTTTATGGGTCTCAAAAGTGCAGTCACTGCCAGTGGTATAAGAACCTAACACTGAACTCAGATCCTAATAACAGATGTGATGCTGATAAATGAGAAGTTCATCCAACAGATAACAGAATGTTGTAATTTACCAAGTAGACAAAAAACTTTATTTGAAGTGTTTTCCAAGTGCAAATTTCCATGACTTTGGCATTCTAGTATTTCTCCCAACACAGCATTGTTCTTTCACGAGTGAAGGTGGACGCTAATCTTCTGGTGTCCATATGGGTCCCACACCTATTGATCGCATAGCTTGATATGACAATACATTCATTTGGAGATGTCAGATTTATTTACAGGTGATGATCAGGAAAACATGGAAACAAAACCAAAACACTAGGAAGAAGCCAGAAAATTAAACATTATTAATAAAACATGGGTTAATAAAACTACTTAACAACTGACAGTAACAACACTTAAAGTGTCTTAGTAACTTTCTGATCAAAGCATTTTGTAAGTCCTGATGACATCATTGTGACTTTTCAACAATACAGCACTTGAAATGTTTCTCGCCCCCACAGAAAAACTGATTCCACGCATTAAAGAGGATAGTCCAGTCACAGTAGCTCTGTAGTTCAGATGTTTGTTATGCAGCCAAATGATGTACGACATCCAATCACATGGTGTTAGATTCAAAGCAGAGTTAGCATTTCCAAGGGCAGGGCAGGGCGAGCACTCTGCATCTTCAAGCTCCAAAGTCCTGGAACCAACCTTTAACAAAGAGAAGTACTTTGAAAACAAAGTTCTAACACAGGGAACACAAATACTACATATATACATCTATACATTCTAATCAATAACATTTCCAGCATCTCAAACTGGAGAATTAGCTGTTCGTGTCTCAGTGTAGCAGTAATAGAAATAGATTTTGGATATGGAGGGCTGATTGGACAAAACGAGGAGCCGATAACAGAAGAAAATTAGTAACGGGGAAAAGTCACTGCGCTTCTACACCGGATATCTCGTATCATGCACTTCGAAAAGCACATAAAAGCATGACGTTAAATTATTGCATCAAAATTAGCGAAGACAGGCACATGACTTTTCTAGAGCGATAACGGCCCACCCTACACAGGAAGTGTAGAGTGTAAATTCTTAAAAATAGTACAATTTACATTGTAAATTGAAGACCTTTCAGGCAAACGTTGCATAGCTAATACTAGATCCAAGGAAGTGATCTTGAATCTTGATACCAGCTGGCTAACCACTGAATATGAGCTCTCAGAATGGTATTTATGATACAGCTGCATCAATACTAACTTTAAAACTGTTTGTTTCAAATTAGCGCTATTTAAATCCCATTTTTATATCAGGCTCGGCAGCTGTGGGACAAAAAAAGTTAGATAACATCCGTAGCCACCCACTTTTAGCTGGAAACTTCCACGCGCACTCATTCTTACCTTTTAAGGGACTAAGAAATACACGACGAGGAATAACACGAAATCAAAGACCACGAAAGCCCAGAAGTCAAACCAGTAGGAATGTTTCGGTAAAGATATCGGAGCTCCTTTAGATTTAAAGATTTTAAGATCTTCCTCTGACTCCGTTACAGGAGTCGTGCCGGGTGCCATGTTTGCTATGGCTTCAGTCTCGCGCTCCTGGAAGAGAACACGATAATCCTTCAAAATAAAATCACACCTTTGCAACAACGATTGGTTACTGAATATTATCACCTCATTTCGTCTACTCCTGCGTGTATAGATCTGTTTCCCCCCTTTGAACAATGTATTTCATATAGCAAGCGCTAGATGCTAAAAAAAAAAAAAATCACAAACATTTTAGGATTAGGCCACCTCATGTGACTGGTCGGGTGACATGAATTGTATAATATATAGTCTGTGACATGGTATTTTCACCTAGTTTTACTGCACTCTTACAGCTAATATTTGTGACATTCAATCAATTATATTTTCAATGGACAGCACCTAATTATAAGCATGTTACTTCTCTGGCCTTCTTTGACACACCAGAAACTGAAAAATCCTTTTCAGTTTCAGGGTGGCTGTAGCTCAGGAGGTGGAGCAGGTCACCTACTGATTGGAAGGCTGGTGGTTCGATCATTGGCTCCTCCAGTCTGCATGTCAAGTATCCTTGGGCAAAATACTAACCCCAAGTTGCTCTCCAATTCATCCATCGGAGTGTGAATGTAGTAGCACTAAGTACAGTGAAAGTGGTTGTGTAAATGGGTGAATGTGGCATGTTGTATAGAGCGCCGTCAGTACTCTGGGACAGTAGAAAAGTGCTATATAAGAATCATTCCATAGTTGTCATCTTATAATCTTGTTAGGTGCATCTTTTGTATTGGACTGTAAAAACTCTTCCTACAAACCAAACTCCAGACTGCATCCAAAGCATATAACATACACGCAATTGATATCATCAGCAGAACGTCCTGCATGTAAAACTCTTTAGAGTTAATGCCACATCTAGCACCATCTTTGTTGGAATTAGTATATACTGATCTGATTCTAAGTAAAATGTGTTTCATATTCCTTACTTTCACTTGAACATGTTTTTTTTATTTATATTTTTCTTTTAATTCTTATCATTCTAAGAGACATGAATAAAATAAAATGAACACAAAAGACCGTTTTTGCCTGTGTGACACCAAATACCATTTATTAGGGCTTTACAAAGACTACAAAATCCTCCAGATGAGGTAAATCACTGTCTCTGTCTATTTACATGATATGTTACATACAAATGTACAAAATATAAAACATTTAAGGACAAATGTTTCACCCAAAAAGAAGAAAACGTTCTCTCAAACCAGAGTAAATGCTATGGTTTTCAACTGAGATGTAACTGCAAAGTGTTAAGTGGGGAAAATGTCACCATGGTGTACACTGTTAACAGGAGTGTAGATAGGTTTGATATGCGGGTGTAAGTCTAGGTAAGGAGCAACCACCCCTTTAGCATGCAACTACACCCCTTTGCCAAAAGAATGTGCGGACCATCAACAACTTGGCTGCGGAGACACGCGTGAAGCTGAACACAGGTAGGATTGTAGAGGATAGAATTGTCCTGAGGTTGTGACAACATGACTTCTTGGTCTCTGGTGAGCTCTGACCAGTAGCACCTGTTGGTTGTTGGTAAATGTTTACAGTACGGTGTCAGATCAGCTTCGGTGCCTCGGCCAACTAGCAAGCCTAACATGGCGGTAAGCTTCAGTTAAAATGTCCAGAGGGGAAGTGTTTCTAATGAACAACTGGGATTCCTAAGATCCAGAAATATTATGGCAGGATGAGGAATACTGGAGTAAGTGCCTATTTTTTTTCTTCTCCTTTTGTGATTTTAGTGAGTTAAAAAAAAGCTGTTTCTTACTGTACACTGTATGCCTCCTGCATAGGCACAACATCCAATCACCACAAGACACACACCTGTTTCTGACAGTGTGTTAAATTTTGCATTTCTTTTTTTTTCTCTCTGTTTTCAAAGTACAATAATTTATTCGGCGGGTTAAGCATATTGGAACATCGACAGGGCAGAATGCATCTTTGATTCACTGTGCAAGACTTAAGTATTTACAACCCAACCCAACCTCAAAGTGTGCAAAACCAACCCACTCGATAAACAAAGAGAGGACAATCAAAAATCTAAATGGCTTCCGTCCAATACACGCATACATAAAGGTAAAGGTCTCCTCATAATGCATCCCCTTTAAAAAGGTTCAAGACATGCTCATCAGGCAAGAACACCTGAAACAGTTTGGTTGTGCTCCTATCAGTTCAAGTGAGCCCAGCTCAACTGGGCACAAAACAACAACTTAAAAAAATATCCCAACCCCTCTATTATATACTTTTTTAAATGTTCATACAATATTGGTCAAATTCAAATACACTATTCACTCTTTTATAATCTAACTGTCAGAAAGGAGAAAGGGTGCTTTAGAGGGAAAGGGAGGGAAAACAAACAAAAGTGGCTGTTTGTCCCACTGCAAGCAGCATCTTTGACATAGCAGGAAGCATATCAATACTATCTCGTCTTCTCACCAGAAGATGCTTGAAAAAAAACTTTTGAACATTTAAGGCAGTGGAGAAAGCACCAATATCATTGTTCCCCTATTCAGCTCTTTGACTGATCTGGTTAACTTGTATACGGATGCGACAATTTGGATTCCTTTCGGGTACCTCACGGGTAGAAACCGAAGCACATGTCAAAAAAGAATTTCTAATGAGGGCCGCAGAATACCACGCTACTCTGTTAGGTATTACTGAACTCAGGGTCAGCCTACATTGCACCAAACCCTGTGCAGACTGCCAAAAATACCTGGTTACTCCTGTTACAATCCACAGAGGGCGCTGTCTGCTCTCTTCACGGTACATTTCATCCAAACATTGACAGCAGGCCAAGAACAGCGTAATGTAGACTTCTACAACCATGTTCGGCTCTGCATTGTGTTTACATTTGGCAGTCAAATCGAAACGAAACGTTGGCACTTTTCAATTTTTTTCTTCACAGTAGTAGTGAGACTGGATCACACACACACACACACACACAGACAATGCGCTTTCGTTGTGCTTGTTGTCGGCATGGAGGGGGGGGGGCGAGGAGCGGCTTGGCAGTGCCTGACGCCGACAACGTTCAGGGCAGGAGACCAGCACCACGAGGCTCAACTAGTGACTGAGCTGAGGGCAGCAGAGTGTGTTAGTATGCTCCAATATTAGCTACACCCTCGTCATGTTCACAAAAAGCAAAGATATTTTTTTAAAAATGGTACAGCGGTGAACAAAATCTACCCAGTAAGGAGCAGGTTTGGTTGACCATAAATAACTTTTACTGAAACCTGATGATTTGTGTGTAAACACAATGGATGTAAAACAGCCTGTGGCCACTAGAGAGCATTACATCACCTGAAAGATAGTGTAAGAGATCAGGGTAGTCAGAAGTGGAGATATGGTACTTTGCTCAAGGACACTGTGGCAGGCTGGACTGTAGATTAAATGATGGCCTGAACTTTTAAAAGCTTTCATTAACAGAGAGTCTCCTCCTGCTGCCTGTGTGCAAGTGCATTCATTTGAGTGTGTGTCTGTGAGAAGCACCTCTGTAAACAAGGAAAGACATACACAACAAAACCCGACCCTAAATGTAAACACCTGAAAATATAACTAGATAACAAAAAATCCAGTTTGATCACGCTGAACTTCTTTCATTTTCTCACACCCAAAATGAAAAGTGTGAACAAAGTGTGATGTTCCTTATCAGACACACTAAAACCTATAATATATATGAAAAGTTGTATTCTTCAAATGTTACACATCCATTAAAAATGACTGGCGAACACTATCCGATGTCAGTAAAATAGATTCGATCTTACGCATATTGTCGTTTACCTTTTTGATCACCGGGGACCAAGTTGAAGACACATCTTTAAGACATAAAATAATCTGATTTAATATTGCACCATCGCTGTGTAAAAATAGGCTTTTTTCTCTCTCAAATGTTGGGTAAATCATTTTGGATAATAAAACTTTTCATATATCATTTGCTAACTATAGGGGTGTCCGGTAGTGATGGGGGTTTGATAGTTCCCAGGTTCTGGGAGGTCCAAGGGGTGCGGGTTAGGGGATCAGTATCTCTTGCTCTCATAGTGCTGACTCCAGTGAAGAGTCTAGCTGGTCGTCATGGTGACTGGTGCTGTCACTGTCGCAGCTCTGCGTGCTGGAGTAGTTTGCTGCCTCCTGCAGCCGTAGCAGCATGTTCATCTGCAACATAATGCAGAGTTAGAATGGAATGGAAAACTAGAGACACTCAAAGCAGGAAAACCTCAGCATTTCATAACTTTAGCAGGGCTCTACTGTTGGCGTACAGGTTTGATCGTGCTCTGATGAGTGTGATAATTCCTACCCTGGTGATCAGCACATTTGCCAAGAGTTTACAAGATAAATCTGAGGACTCTCCAAATGATTACTACAGTTAGGATTTACTGTTGCTAATATTCAAAAGCAGATTTCACAAAATCAATCAAGAATTTTACGCAACTCTAAGCTTGTGGCTCCTGTTTTTATTTTATACCTTGTGAGTCAGTCTCCATTACCATGGCAAAATGTGCTCAAGAGATACTGTAATGGTAACTACCACAAAGGTGGCACATAGTACACATAGTGTTTGTAGACACCATAGCATTACAAATGTGCAAGATGAAGTTATGAAACATTACAGGTTCGTATCTGAGATTAAAACCCAAAGATGTGTGCAGTGTGACTCTTGTGCAAAAGATACTGGAAGCAGACTGGCAGTCTGACCTTTCACCTAATACAACATAATATTTTCAAAGGTTGGGTATTCATTGGAATCATTACTAATGTGATCTACTCTTTCTTTGACTGTATTTTCCATTTTCACAAAGGAATGAACAACTGCTAACTTCCAACACCTCAATGCAGTGACCCTCAAACCTTCTCTGTTTATATTCTCCATGTTCTTAAAAAAAGACAGAAAACCTTGTGCTAAATAGCCCGCAATAAAACAGCAGCACTTTTCATCCCTGCAATAGAGCTAATGGTCTAAATAATGCAGGAGTGTTGCTGCATCTGGCGCGTCACTTCAAGTGTTCCTGAAATGAGCTGTGGCACACCTGCGCTCCAAATGCTCACACGTGGACACACACACACACATTTATTAAATCAAGCCAGTTGATTTTGGGTGACTAGTCTTTATATCCTTTTGGGCTGCAATAATGATGATGAATTCTCTCTTTCCACCATTTCCTGCCTCGTCTTCCAACCCTCCGTCACGTTAAGCATCTGGTGTGTGTGTGGGTGGGTCACTGTGGTACTGAGGAGCATTCTCTTCTCAACCTGTCCTTCTTTTCTAATAGTGCTGTGTGGTACTGCAAATAGTATCAGTCTGATACCAAGTAGATCCAGGACCAGTATGGCTACTACTGACACTGATACTTTTAACTCATACAGCTTAGAGACAGCAGTTTGTCATGATTTATAAATAAGTTACATCATCAGTAAACAAATGCAAACATATTGTCTTAATATACATATGGGCTATAAATAAAATAGATTAAAATAAATAAAACAGGAAAAAAAGCATTTTCCATAGTGCATGTCTGAGGTGTATTTTTTCATTTCCCAAAAAATATTTTTCTGTACTTACAGGACAGAAATAAAGTATCGATACTGCTATGATGGCATTGATCTGATACCAACACCAGCGTCAGCATCGATGCTATCAGCCCACTTAGCTTTTTTCATTTTCATTTTGTTCTGGTGCCAATGTAAACGACGTGTTCATTCATTTGTTAGAAATCAAGTATTGACAAAATGCAACCTGCAGGTTATCAACAGCCGCTGGTAATAATTTTCAGTCCCATGAGTCTGTACCTCTTTATAAGGCCACGTCAACAACACCCAAACACTGCCTGAGCAGTGGCCAGCAGCATTGACGTGAACATTCATGCTCTACAAAGAACTTGCTCCATCAGCTTTCTCAGCATTCATGTTTGCTCTTTTAATTCTTAGTCACTTAAAAAACTCTGAGAACATCCTTTGTCTTTTGTTCCTCACCAGTGGGTCTCCCTCAGTGTCACTCTGAGACACTTGCTTGGATGAGGCGCCCTCCTTGGACGAGCTGTATCCATCATATCCCACATCCTCCGGCCTCAGCTGGAGCAGCGACTGCCCGTCCTGCTGCAGTGAGGCGGCGTTCCATGGATATGTGTCATTCACCCACTTGGATGGATCTTCCCATGCAGCTCTTTTGCCGTACAGCTGCAAGAAAGGCAGAAAAGGGAGAGAGGTCAATCAAGCTTTCTTTTTTAATAAAACACTGTTGTTCTAATCTTATGATGGTAAAAATTTATGGTCACAGAGACTAAAACAGTTTGCCACTCTAACCTACAATTTTTTTTAGCATTGTGTGAAGTGACATAAAAATCAGACACTGTGGTGATGATAATTTCTTTCTCAGTTTTATTTCTCGTCTCATGCCATTTTAACATTCATGCCAGCCCTATGGTGCATGACAAAATGGTCCGGCAGAACGAGAACCCCCTTAGATGAAAGTAAAAGCCTAGAAGTGTTTTAACACCGCTAATTTCATCTGGACTAATGTGTCCTTTGTAATAGAAATACTGCTAAAATCCTGTTATGCAGGGTTAAAAATGTTGAAATTTGATCTCAGCATTTTCTCTCACAGTAGCAGCCAGCATTCATTCACACAGACAATGGCACACATTAAAACTTGTGCAGTTAATGAGGCAGCAGTGCAGATGTGTTAAGGCTTTATTTTACTGCATACTTCCTTTTGTTTGGATTTTATTAGATGCTGTTATATACTAACCTGAAAAAATGTGTCACTTTAATGTTCTTTTTTTATTTCTAGCATTATGCTGTAAAAAGATTTATTGGTGAAACCACACAGTTATGTTTTATCAGGTCCTACCTGCAGTCCTTCCCTGACAGCCTCCAGCAGGTAGGGCACCAGGGAGTAGTTCCACAGGTCAGTGAACCAAACCCGAGAACCCTCTACATCCATGGGACAGGACAGGAACAGACGAGGGCCTGTAGGGACAAAAAAGAGAAAGAGGATGATGAGTGAAGCAAAGATCAGTGACATGGTGCACAGTTAAAACTAATGAGCTGCCGAAGAGACGACATACAGAAAAACTTTATATTACTGTGCACTGAGACAGATAAGAGCTAAAATAAGGCACAACAGAGATTTCAGTGTTAGACAAACAGCACACACACTAGTGTGTGTGTTTTTGTTTGTGTGTGTGACACCTGACCTATGGTAACATCGGAGGAGCTGTGTGCCTCCAGGAAGCTGTTGAGGTGCTGCCAGGTTTTGGGGATCCAGTCAATGATCTTAATCAGGTCATTGCTGCGCATATTCTTATCAATCTCTGTCTCAATCAGCTTCCGCCGTAGGAAGCGCCCCAGGAAACCTTTGACTGGTTCAGTGTGGTTGGTGCACAGCACCCACCTATGATAGGACAGATGATCAATGGCCAAACAAAAGCACAGAAACAAATCAATCAGCTCAACATCAAATCAAATTTCTCATCAAAACATCTCAGTTTAAACATGATGTGATAGCGTTTCTTCCATCACAGTTTGGATCCCATTCTGTGTAACTATAATAGAGTCATATTAAATTAATTTCTGGCTCATGTTAATCTCTTTCTAATCATATTGTATTTGTCCAATCATCAACTAGTCAAACATGCCAAGCAGAAATGGTCCTCACTCAGAACAGGCATCACAGCCTATTAATTCTCATTTAACAGGGCTAATTATCCAGGAGACATAATTAGAGCACTCCCTGTGGAAGAATTTATTTATGATCTCTGAGACACAGAGTATTGCAACCAAACAGATCCAAAGCTCGGCAGGAGGACAAGTAAAAGTACAAATCATTTCTCTTTTGGAGAACTGAAGGAGCTTTTAAACACAACACAATAAAAGTAAGGTATACAAGTGAATAAGCAATGTTACACAAAGAATAACAGAGCCAAATGTGTCAAACCTGAAGTTGTGATGCAGCTCGAGGTTAGGAGACGAAGACACCCCCTGATTCATGGTCCCAATAACGTAAGGGCTGGACAGACAAACACATGCGATTACTTAGAGTGCTTAACCGAGAGAAAAATGCAGAGTTTTTAATACATAACATTTAGATATGTTATTATAGTGAGTTTACAACTTGACTTGAGTGGGCATGAGCATGCTACAAAGCTGTTCTTTCCTTTTGCCTATTAAAGGTTTTTTCTTCCCATATTTGAATCCAGCTTTCAAGAACAGAAGCTGAACAGACTAAAAATGCTGAGAGGCAAAACTTGTGACATCTGAATTTAGGCTGTGAAAATAAAATGGACTTGACCTGACTAGAGCTGTGAGCGACAGTAGGACTTGTCCCTGCAAGGCGTTTCAGCATAGAGGAGAGGAAAGTTTCTGGCTCACCATTTGTGATACTTGCAGTTGAGAAAGCCATTGAAAATGTCGCTGAGGGAGCCGATATGGTGGAGGTTGTCCAGGATGACCACAGTGGGGAGCTCTGTGTCCGTGTCCTCAGAGTTACACTGCTCAGCCAGGGTTGATAGGTACTGACGCAGGTCCTGTGTAGAACAAAAATATTAATTCATTTGTGATATAACACTAATTGGACAATTTTTAAATGCAATGTAACAAGTCCTCATATTTCTGTATAAAATCCATATGACATGCGCCACTATCAAATCTGTATGTAATAGCCTTTCTACCCTTCTGGATAAACTTTTATGCTTAAATTATGAATTATAATGACTTGTGACTGGTCAGAAACAGCATTCAGTAAACGCAGCAAAAATGGAGCAGGCATTGATGACAACAGATTGATGGGGTCAGTATGAAAGGAGGAGGTGGGCAGCAACAGTGGACAGGCTAAAGCAGCTTAAATAGTGCTACCTATATCAGTTTTTCCTGATAGGCAGGTAGCTGATCTGCCACAATCGTGACTGAGCTTGACTTTGTAGCCTTGATAAGCTAAAAAAAAAAAAATCTTGTTCTTCATACCTTGCTGGAATTCTGGTCGACATTAAAGCTGGCCACATTGTGCTCCGTCACTTCCTGCCCCATGTGGGAAATGATGTACTCAGCCAGTTTGGCAGCCAGAAAGGATTTACCGGTGCCACTGGGTCCTGAGAGGATGATCCGACGGTGCTCCATCAACAGGTTGAGATATCGCTGGATGATGGGCTTCGGGATGAGAGTGTCAAACACGAGACTGTCTATGCTGTTCTCCTTAACACCTGTAATGAACAAGGAAGGAAAGAGGAAAGGAAAATATGAATATTATACAGCAGACTGGAAAATGAGGCTCAAGTTTACGTTATTGTTACCAGGTCTGCATATTTTCTGCATTGCATTACTACAAAATCTATAATCCACAAATAAAACGTCCCAGCTGACTCACCTTTAAGGTTGACCTTGATGATGTTGTTGCCACCCACCAGGTAGCCGCAGGGCAGCAGCTCAGGCACTTCAGAGGCGTGGGAGCGAATCACCTCACCCATCCTGTAGCAGACAATGCTGTCTGAGCTGAGACCCAGGCTGGTCAGAGGATCCACGCGGAACACATACTCCTGCAGCGAGGGTGAACAGTGGAACTTTAACAACTGCACAATCAGCCAAGTTTACAAATCTCTCTGTGTTGTGAGGGCTTTTTTTTTTTAAGTCATTTAAATATGAAATCAACGATGACAACAGGAGCTTTAATTTGCACAGATTCATTACTGAGATGATTTATTACACAAGCTAGTCCTCTTACAAACTACAGCAAGCTCAGTAAGGAACATCTGTCATGTGGACAAATGATTTCTGCTTACTTTAAAGAGGCGTCGGATAACCCCATCCAGGACATCCCACTTGGTTTTCCCACTCACACCTATAGACCCAATCAGGTACTCCTGGCTTTGTGTACCCTGAGGAGTTACATACATGTATTACATATAGCAATATAGCCTAGAACCTCTCAGAGTTTAATACAGTGGTTTTCCTGGAGGAATCATTCACAAACCTTGGTGATATTTGGCCCACTGCTGATGGTAACCACTATTCGCACACTGCGGCCCTCTTTGCGTAGGTTGCCCTCATAGCTGTCATCGAGGAGAATATCTGAAAATAGACCTTAATGTTAGAAGGAAAAACCAGCTTGAATCCGTCAGAATAAACACACTCTTGCTCTGCCTGCCAAAAAATATAGCTAGAAACACACAGACTCCAAAGTAAAATGCAGCTATCTTTAATGTGATAATTACATTTAGTCGGGGTTCTCATACACTGATTTTTAGGAAGTGCACAGAATGATAATGTATGAGCAGAAATGAAAGGCGAGTAAAGAAATGAGAAATCGTTCAGTGGAATGAGCTCATTTGAGTGTTTCTAGCCGAAGAATTGTTCATCCATTCACGAAGGATGTGACAGAAGAGTGGGATGATGTGACTTTTGCCACACTATTAACAGCTCCCCTCCTAAGTCTCATTCGTTCTCTTTTTTCTCAGGTTCCATTTTGGCGAGAGGAAGGGGGTACTTTGTATTCGGCTGGCTACCCTTGGCAGAGGGCTCTGTGCTCGGGTGATAACAGCCCACTGGCCCACTTGCCTTCCCATATGTCGCTGCTCTTGGCTCACCGGACGTTCAGGTAATGAGAGGCTAGGTCATCAGAGGGGGCCGTGCCTTCTAAGTTAATTACAGTCCAAGTGAGAGGGACAAAGTTTTCCAGCTCTCAAAAGGGGCAGGCCTGAAGAGATTGAAGAGTGTTTATGTAATAGGTCCTGCTTGGCTGCAAACCCCCACAGCAGGGAGGGGCAGATATTTCATCATTTTAATGCAGCTCATCCGGATCATTTCTCTCCACAAACACAATTCTCTGGCATTTATTGAGGCAAGTATGAAGAGAGCTAATCCAACTTGATGCTGCACAAAAACACGAATTACTGCAGACTATAAACGATGTCCTTCAGCATCACCAGACACACAACTCCTACACTTACTTCTCAAATGAGAAGTATGAATACAACCTTGATGATGAATACAACCTTTCTGAAAGAAGTGCCTTTTATAATCAAAAAACATATCTAGTTGTATGCTTTGTCTTGACTGTGAAAATCCTTTTTGTTTCTTTTTTTCCAGTTATCCACCCTCCCACTGCATTCACTGCCCAGAACAAACTGCTGGGTGCAATGCTGCTACACAGAGACACCTCAGATCGACGGGCTGCAGAAACTGAGCTCACCTGACATGATGGTGTCTGTGATGTTGAGGTTATTGAGGGACAGCCCCAAGGACTGACGTGAGGAGGATGAGGAGGTGCTAGAGGTCTCAGAGGGTGGCCGGGCTGTCTTCACGGGTGTGGCTGTCGGTGTTGCGTTACCGCTGGACTTCAGACGATCATTTTCTGCTTTCAGCGTCTCAATCTCATTCTGTGTGTTGCAAATAAAGAAAATCATAGCAAATCTAACAGAAACTGCTTTTAAAGACACTGACTGATAGGCTCCTCCAACAGCAGATGGTCATTTCCTGCATTGTTGTTATTCTGAATCAGTATCACTGGAATTATAGGCTGTAGGCAGCTTTTTGATCTTCGAGCCTTCTTTGTACTGAAGATTAAGTCTCAGATAAGGAATTGGACATGATCCCCATCTGACAGGGAAACTATACGCAGCCCACATTCAGAGGCATCCACTTAACTGAGACACAGGATATTCTTTAATATGTGTTCCTTTGAAAATTTGAAAGTCACAGCATCTGTGTACACTATGCTTTGAAAGGATGATTTCATTACACTGCATCAGGAGTACTGGAATAAATAATGGGAGTTTGTTTTCATGGAGAAACTCCCCTTTTTAAAAATTCAGCTTCATGGAAAAGTAAACAACACCTTCATGAGGTGTTTTCCCCTCGAGAACCTAACTTTATCAACAGATATTTGATAGGAGTCTGTTTGCAGTACGTTAGAGGCTATGCTGGGTTGCAGGTAAAGATTAGTGGAAAGCAGAAGAGAAATGCTTTGGCTCACCGACAAACTCAAAATCATCGACTATCATCTGAGAGCTATTTAGCTTTTATCAGCTTTTTACTTTATCTGCATTCATAGCTGGACAGCAAACAACGACCGGTGGAACAGGAAGTCTTGGCCTTGGCCATCCTCTGTTCTCTGATAATCATCAGAGAACAGAGGATGGCTTTCCAGACTGCTTAAAAATAGAATGACTGTTTTTTGATGATTAGTGCCTGTTTGGAGGCTGCTGGAAGTTTTTGCATTTCCCAAAGTTTATATCCTAATAGGACTTGATGTAATGGTTGGACTTTTCTGATTTAAGCTTACCTTCTTTCTTGCATAGCATTAGATGAAAACAACTAGTACCACGATCAAGTACCAATAGCAGTTTTCTGTTGCAGGTAGTGGAGGGTAAGTCATGCGGAGTATTTCTCAGTGTTGTTTACCTTGATGCAGATGTCTGGAAGGTGTGCTCCTCACAAACTAGAGTGAGATTTTGCAATCTGCATCTAATTTCAACTCACCATGCTCATTGCTGTTTGCACTATTCCTCCCTCCAACATTTTAACACTTGTCTGCTGACCAAATAACAGATTATGCTTTAACAGCAAGACATGTTTGGTTTGCATTGGCAGGAAGTTAACACACCTCTCACCTCTCACTGGAAGAAAATCAATTAACAGCAATATGTGCTCATTTTAATGTCAGTGTTTTGCCCATCTCCAGTGGCTCCCTGTGGCCACTTTACTTTTTTTTAATTCTCCTGAACTTTAACAGCAGTTAAAGCAGATTTAATCAGATTTCAATTATTTAAAAAAAAAAAATTAGCAATTGAAGGAAAAAGCAGGTTGAATTCACAGCCAGACTGTTGGCTCGCTGACATGCCTGATATTAAAATGCAACTGGATGATTTCTTTTTTACTTTTAGTATTATTAAAATTATTATCCAAGTAAGATACTTGGATTTTAATTCATTTGCACAAAGACAGGTAAAATTCAAAATGTCAACATTTTAAGAGTAGGTATAACAGATATAATCACTTCATTCTATTTCTACAATTTCATAATGTCTGTATTAATGTTTTGTGACTCTATGCAGATTGTTGTTGGTGAAAAACTGCCAAAAAATGGCTCTGCTGTTACTAAAGCTTGCAGACCCCAGTACTAGGAGCTGAAAAATAAGACATCAAGCACAAAACCTGAAAGTTTGTTGTTTTCACTTCATCACTTAAATCACTTTAAGCATATTTGCACTGCACAAGACATAATGTGGATTGCACAACACTGGTCACTATATTCTTCATTTCCAGTTAATACTTGTACAGCTGCTGTTATTGTGTGTATATATATATATACATATATATATATATATATACATTCTTATATAGGTCTATTGTGTATTTTGTTGTACAGTTAATTTATATTTTATTCCTTCCTAGTTAAATTTACCCTTTTTAATTTTTCATATTTATTTCCTATCTTATTCAAGCCTTTTCCTTTTTATTTCTTTAGGTCACGAGCAGTTGTCTAAGCATTTCACTGCATATCGTACTGTGTATGACTGTGTACGTGACAAATAAAATTTGAATTTGAATTTAATTATATCGTCCTACATGCTGTTATGAAGGACTGCAGCATCACTTTGCACAATGTGGTTAAAAAGCACTGACAGAGGTAACTGAATGAAACTGGGCCAAAGTAGGCGGAGTTAGCAGTGAGTCAGCTTAGCTTAAAAAAGGCTGAAAGTCGAGGGAAAGCCTGGCTTCCAGGTCAAGACAGCCAAGTGTACAAATGAAAGAAATGAGAGACAATTTCTTCATCAGTGGGCAGAGCCAGGACAGACATAATATGAAGCTATACTAATTTGCTGCAAGTTCCAGCTACACATTAACCACACTGACAGTTCTATTGTGCCTCTCATTTTACTCTTGGCCCGAAGGCAAAGAAGTTTAAATGTCATTACGGTCATTGACAGTTTCATTTTCATTCTGGATTATGAAGCTGCAGTACATTTAAGATAAGATAAGATAACCTTTATTAGTCCCACACATGGGAAATTTGTTTTGTTACAGCAGAAAGTGGACAGTGCAAAGTTATATAGCAAAAATGAGAGAACATTACCTGGGTTACACATTTTAAACAACACCATAAAATAGAATTTAATAGCTAAAGAGTGAGAGCACTAGGTGACTTGTTATGTTGTGAAAGGATATTCATATTTTTCACTACAATGACCCCTGGCAAGCTGATAGCTGTGCATGCTGATGCAGCTTGAGCTCAAATATAAATCGACACAGTTCAGCATTGACCTGGGTTTAGTTTAAGCTCACCTGCATGCGGTTCATGGCCTCTCGGATCTGGTCCAGGTGATGGGCAGAGCTAAGTGCCTCCAGGCGGATGTCCGTCAACTTGAGCTCCTTCTCCCTCAGCTCGTTCTTCAGCTGGAGGATGATTTCTGCCTCAGCCTCAGTGCATTCACATAGCCTGAAAGTGGGTTCACACACAGGGAGTAGGAGGGCTCACCTTTAGGGTTATACCAAGCACGTACACCAAGTCTGGAGAATGTGCACTTTCAGGGGGAACAAGAAAGCTGAAGTTCAAGCTGAGTCAGTCTGGGCTGGTATCACATGGGTGAACAAGGAACGTTAAGCACTTGGTACAGCAAATCCTTCCCATTGATACTACAGTACTTTATTTTAGCAATCTTACAGGAAAAGAAATATTGCAATATGTGTAGGATGTTTATGCCAGAATTTATGACAGCCATGCAGCATACCGGTTGCTCTTTTCTTTATTTAACATTAATGTTTAGTCTGAAATGTAAGCGATCATTTTCAGAGTAAACTAAAAAGGCTGATGTGGTGTTGTCATAATGACAGAGATTCAGCTGTTTTCGTAATCAGCAGGCAGATATTAAAAAAGTCGACATGTAAAAATGCTTTGTTTGCTAAGTCAGAAACCTCCACATGCCGAGACTATAAGAGTTAAGATACCACGCATGCCAGGTTATCTTAACCCAAACAATACCTGGCATGACTGTGATATATATTTATATATCTATATATAAATAGATATATTGACCTTTTGTAGTAAGATGCAGACAATTTTTTCTGACATGTCTGACAAAACAAGAACAGTTTTCTTTCCATTCTGCTACTTTTCCATAACCGAGAACTGGACAATTTTAAGGTCCTGGTTCAGTTTGTGTCCCGGAGCAAAGCGCTAATATGGAGAAGAACGCCACACAAACACAAACCACTGCAAACACACTCCCAGGGAGCATGCCACTCAGTGCCTGTTACCGAGATCTGTGCTTGTAGACCACATAACCATTTAGCTTTTTCTTTGCCGTCCAAATGGGGGAAGACTTGCTATCGCAAACGCACTTGCTACAGTAGGTAGAGAAATAGTAAAGAAATAATGAAACAGAGTGGTTGGATGAAAGAGAAAAGAAAAGTGAAGTGAGGGTCAGAAACAATTACATATTCAGAGAAGAAAAAGAAATGAGACAAGTGTGTATTTCAGTTATTATAGATCGTAGATACGGCAGAAGACAATGTCTCATGTGAATAGAACTGTGAGAGTGAATGAGTATACATTTACTCACTCTGTGGTGGAGGGTGAAGAGCGCAGCGTGGCAATACTGCCTTGCCTGTTGTCGTGCTGCAGTTTGGGTGAGGAAGGCAGAGAGTCGGTCATCTCCTCCATCTCATCGTGGGCTGACTGCGATTTGGTTTTCTTCTTGCTGAACGCCTGCTTGAAGGAGCTTCGTAACTGCAACACACATAACACAAACACACAGGGGCAGAAACATCAGTACCGGCCGTGCTAACCTCCTCAGTCATATCATGTCAGTTCATATTAACCCTGATGATATTGCATCCTGTCAGGAAGTTACTCCGTGCTGTTTCCAAGCAATGGGCACTGTCTGGTTTAGGTAAAAAGGCAAGAAGCAAGACCATAAGTACAGATGAGAATGGGGGGGGGGGGGGGGGGGGGGGGCAGGCGTTTTTAATGTTCCTAAAAATTTTGGGATGAACAGGCAGTCAAAATGAGGAGGGGCGGAGGAAAAGGAGGGGGGAGGAGAAACAATGGGGGAAAGGGGAAGGTCGCTGTATCCATGCCGACGTTCTCAGAAAAAGGAGGAGGTTGCTCTAAGAGGGGGAGAAGGCAGGGCAAACGTAGGAGCAAAGGAAGTGAAGATGAGGAATCACTGCACACAAACGAAGACACTCTGGGAACCACTGACCTGAGCCGGGAGGGAATCGGCCACCTGAAGATGCAAAACACACCCAACATTAAGCCACGCAAACACACACCCCTGCTCTGCAGGAGACTGAGTGTTGATTAAAGCTAACTGCTGCAAATATCACTGTTTTACTGGAGACATTCCAGTTACTGCTGTTGCTAGAATGGTAATAATCGTGATGAATGTTATTACAGTTGCGTTCCCTTTGGTAGGAGGAGAGCATTTCTGCAAGCATGCTCAGTGTTTGATCACCGCTGCCTGAGGTGATCTGAGGTGACAAATAAACTTGTCTGAATACGGGACAGTTTAGATCTCAAGTCAATAAAACCAACATTTTACAAAGCAAAGAGTTCAGGACGCAACATGAAGTCAGCACAATGATGCACAACACAAAATATGCAACATTTTACAACACTGACACTCATAAGACTGATATTGAAATGCTAATTATTTGCAGCTTAGGTTATGAGTTGAAATTCATGGTTGTAATTGCAGCTACATGATAATATGCAACTTCATCCTTCACCTTGCCACCCTGCAAGCCTGATGTGTGGTTTTTGTCTTTGCTTTTCATTCACTAACCTCAATTCAACTCTGTCCTCCACCCATCATACACCCAGGAAGAATTTATGCAAATGAATAATTAATTGCTGCTGAAATAAGGAAACGGCTGGTATTCATGAGGCTGGCTTGATGTTGACATGTCAGGCTTGGTGGGGAACTTTTACACTGTTAGTATGCATTTCATTTCAAGGGCATGTGTTTTGCATTGCAGCAGAGACTGGAGAATGGCTCTAGTTTGTGTGCTCCTTGGCTGAGACAGAACTTCTAATATGTCATCTCTCTCACTCAGGGGACTGCAGCAAATCGCAGCTCTCAGCCAGGGATGCTGAGTAGCTTGTACAGCAACCAGCAAAATTAGCACAGATAGAGCAGAGAAAGGGGAAAAGGCTTTATGGCTTTGGATGTTTTGGGAAAATGTATATATACATTTGTCAATTGAAGGAAAACTGCTTTAAACATACATCTGAGACTAGGATTTAACTTCAGTTCAAGATGCATTTTAGACATGTGAGTCAGCAAACACTCAGTTTCCTTTTTATTCCCCCAACATGCTCTGTAGGAGGAATAAAGCTATATGCCATGCTGTTTTACACCTCCAAGCTTGACCAAGTCCAATTGTGTAACTGAGGGATTAAGAGCTTTTCTCAAAAGCACTTTGACAGGAAATTTCGAAGAGTGTTTCTCTTCTATCCAAAATTGGAAATTTAACAAGCACTCCTCTAACCTCTGGGCAGAAACTCGACTTTTTTCAGGCTGAACCTCTGTGTACATGACATTGGTGGCCTCTGCTTCTTTTCCAACCTCATCTGCATGTTAGACTAAATATGAATTTCCAAGTGTTTCTCAAACAGTGACTGCAGTGTGGTTCATTATGCTTGATCCTCTTTTAGGTCAAGATGCCTTCAAGACTTTGCTGCACACTCTGCATACTCAATCCTCGGAGGAATCTCAACTCAAATATGACTAAATATTAGATTTTTGATCTACATGGTGACTTGATCACACGTATCAAACCAGTTAATCACAGACTGATTCAGTCATGTAAGGCAGCAAACACCCACTTTACACTAAAGAAGGAATGATTGGGCATAAAAAAAATCAGAGCATTAAAAACATGGATTGGCATTTTGGGGCAGAAATGATCCATTTGCTTTTGATTTGATGAGCAAATAACGACTAAATAATGCAAGTTCTTCTGAGCTCATGCAGGTATAGTTAATGCATTCTTCTTGTAGGAATGTGGATGATTTTTAGTGAGAGCAACAGTACAATCACATTTATTTGATAGAGCTGCAAAAATATCTTTTCTTTATGCAAATAAGACATTTAATCTCTTAATGTGGGCATATAAAGCACATCTAAAATAGCTTCAATGCCACTGAATAATGTATATGTATCTAGGGGATTTTTTACCAAATCCACCTCCAACAATGTCTGGATATTTTCATGTGAAAATATAAAGCATCTGTTGGTTGCAGCAAATGAATGCAAGCCAGAAATTAAAAGACACCTGCATATATAGCATAATCTCAAAATACCCAAAACAGGCAGCTGAAAGTATTTTGAATGGTGCTCATGGCCATTGATCAGTGGTCATAACAGTTTGCATATTAATGATCAAGGAACCGACCTCCCAGCCCATTGTTCGAAGACCATTGCTAGTTTCAGTCATTATGCAAATGCACTGTTTATAAGATTGGGGAAACCTGCCGAGTGGGAGAAATGACGAAACCGAAAACGCTGCGCCCAGATGAACAGAATCAACCTTTTGGGGCTTTGGTTAAGAAGTACTCAGTTCCACCCCTCTCTTATATTTTGCCTTAAAAATTAAGCTCAAGGTCCAAAAGTGCAGTTCATTGTATGAGCAGTTGAGGCTGTCCCCCAAACAATCAATCCCAATAGAAAGGCATGTTTAAGGCATAGTACAACAAGTGCTTTAAGTCTTTCTAGCTAACCTTCTGTTCATGAGTACAAGTATGTTTTACTAAGGGTGCAGCCACTTTTACTGTTAGATTTTCTAGCAGATTTTTGTGTCTGTGCGATACACTCGTAAAGCGAATGGATGTAGCTTGTTAGTAAGAACTCAGATTACACCACGCTCCCAACCAAAAATCAGGGTGCTATGTCCTTTCATGATGAGTCTTTGAGAAGAGCCACTGTTAGCCACTGGAACTATGGAAGGTTTGAGGTCTGGTTTTGAAATGTGATTTTACTCTGAAGCTTTAGTGTTTTTATCTTTTCACCTACCCAGCTCTTCTTCTTCTTCTTTTTGTCTTCGGCATCCTTGCCCAAGCTGCCCATACTGGAATGACTGGCTGCGCTGTTAATACTGGACATACTTTCAGAAGAGTGCTGCCGTCTAATCCTCAGATCTGGAAAGAACAGACAAAGCTTTCTTTAGTGCAAAGAATGTTTAGGTGAACAGTGTCACTACATTTATTGGTTGATACTGGTTCTTATTTAAAGTGCTGCAGGAATTGTTTCTTTCAATCTGACTCACACAGCACAAAAATCTGTAAATAACAGGGGTTCAATTACCTATGGAGCCAGTTGCGCTAAATGTTCATCCACTTATCAAAACATCATTTAATTTTGTCTCCTGCCAGCCTGCTCATTACCTTTGTCAAGGTGGTTTGGGCCATTGAGTGCCACCTGGATAGCTGTTTGGGCGTCTGTGTTCTGGGTCTTCAGCATTTCTATCGTCTCCCTCAACTCTGCCAACTCGGACTCCTTTAGTCAGAAAAAAAGAGAGAGAACAGGAGGTGCTGTTTTATTTTTTATTTATAAAGACAGAAATCTCTGTAGTCTAAATAAAACAGACTTTCCAAATCCAAAATCAGTGATCAGACCAGGTTATTTTTAAAAAGGATGAGGAACCCAAAAATGTTGGAATCGTCCCCTTAGTTACATTACTGAGAGCAGATTCTTAAATTTGGCATTGAGGTAGCTGTGTGTGTGTTTGTGTGTGCGTATGGATGTGTGTGTGTGTGTGTGTGTGTGTGTGTGTGTGTGTGTGTGTGTGTGTGTGTGTGTGTGTGTGTGTGTGTGTGTGTGTGGGGAGGGGTACATTTTGAGAAATACAGTAGATTTGCCCCAAAGCCAGCACCACCTGCTTAGAATAAGAAGAATACTGGACCAGATAAAGGGAGACTCCTACTCTGTCTTTCCCCAAAACTCACTGAGGGCTGCAGATAGGGTTTTCACTTTAATTAAAAGTTAGGATGGCCTTGTTTGACAAAGGCAGCTCACCCATCTCAGTCTCCTTTAATTTATAAAGGATTAAAAAGCAGCCAGGGCTTGTCAGCTATGTGTGCATGTATATGTGAACAGAGGGGAGCATTCTTCATTTGTGGTAGGGGTATGCCTAAGAACATATTGCTGCTGCTGTGATGAGTTTTAGTTCTTTTCAAGCTCTTTTGAAGTCCTAGAGAAAAAAATAGCTGCGGGCAAAAAATGATGACGGAAAGACCGCTTTAAACAGATTTTTGTTATTAAACTGGATACTTTTACTTACATATAAAGCACTGAAGTTTGAATCCTAAGCATGTCAAAAGACTTTGGTTAAGGTTAAGAGCACTGCTAGAGAAAAACTTTACCAAGTAAACTCCTTCAGCAGAAAACTTTTCACGAGTCGAGAATTGAGCCTTTAATATATTTTTATTATGTCACAGTGACCAACCTCTGACTTGATACTTCCCACTGAAATTATTCAGTGCCACACAGTTTCACGTTTCTAATCATTTCTCCTCTTTGTAGTCTCTTTTGAAGATGCCACACAGTGTATTTTAAATTCAAGAATAAGCTCTTGTACCTTTTGCTCGGCTGTCATGGTGAGGCTCTGCAGGCGGCAGGTCATGTTACTCAGACTCTTCTCAAAGGCTGCCACCAGGTGAGCCTACAGACACAGGAAGACAAGCAAACTTAATCCTCGCTTTTACTTTTTTTACATGCTTTGGCTCACTATTTATGTTTTTCTTATGCAAATCGAAAATCCAGATTCAAAAAGAGAAAGCACTGAAGTAAATAAAACACACACACACACACACACACACACACACACACACACACACACACACGCACACACACACACGCACACACACACAAGCCCCAACACATTCTGTATGCAAAACTACAAAAGTAAATCTCAGAACTGAGTTCAATATGAAATTTGACTTTTCTCGGTCAATACAATAAACGCAATTTCTACTTGGCCATTTATAAATTAACATTAAAATGTTTTTAAAACCCCTGTTGAAAAAAAGAGCTCTGACAGAGAATCATCTGGTGCGTTTTGATAACTTTGAAGTGAGTTTTCGCTTGATGACTGCGGACAGAAAAAAGCTTGGTGTGGAAATTTTATTTGCCCACGAGTCTGAAGGCTTTGGCTGTGCCGTCCTGAGGAGGTTTGAAGAGGGAGCACTGTATTACTTCACTGCTGCATCCAACTGCTGTGAATTAAACACCGTGGACGCCAAAGATGTCTCTCTCAGCTAATTAGAATAAGAACGCATTGATACCTGAAAGATGGTCAATGTTTGGCAACGTCATGCCATCTGCTCTGCGGGAATCATGGTTTTGTGTGTGTGCGTGTGTGGATTTGGTTGTGCATGTGTTTTATCTATATGTGTTTATAGGGATGTCTGGTGAAGCCTTATGTTCATCAAGGCTGCATGTACTTTTGTGTGTATTCGTTTGTGTGTGTGCTGTTCGTTCATTCTCCCGTTCTAAGCAAGACACAACCGAGTCACCTGTCAAGCCTGGTGTGTCACAGAGAGGTGGGAAGCATGCCCAGACAAATCTACACACAGATACGCACACACAAACACCCAAGTGCATTTATACACTTTCATTTACCGAATTCAGCAGCATTTGTTCTTGATCTTGCCCTCTAACAGTTGTGACAAAATCAGAAAAGTCCTCATCTTTCTATGCCTATGACGACATTTGGCCCATCCAAGTCCATAAATAGACACGTGCACGGAGTAGCACCCTGTGCTGCCTCTTCCACTCTGTGTCCCTGGCTAAATCAGCGTAGGTCTTGACCTTTAGAAATGCCAACTGTTCCGACACATCCCTCTAACTCCACATCTCTTTCCAACTCCACCTGTGAGGCTCCAACTCATCAACCCCCAGCCCACCTGTCAGCTCTGAGGGAGGCACCAATCAAACTCTCCTGCATCCCAGGGCTGAACCATCTGTCCTGTTCTGGAGGCTTGAGCCAGATAGTGTTTTCTGACCCTTGTCCTGATCCTGGGGTCTCAGGTAAAGGTTGACAGTAGGCCAAATCAGAGAACTAGATGATGAGAAAGTCTTTAAAGTCACAGCTACTTGATGCCACCTCTGACGATGTACACAACATCTCGAGGGTGTTATATGTTACCAACGACACAGAGTCACGACTACTGTGTTCAAAGCCAGCAACTACTGCTGGGCTACATCCTACACTGTAGTACAGTACAAAAACAAGGGCAGGTGACGAAAGGAGGAGGCCCAAAGTCAGGAAGGAGGAAAAGGAAAGGAATACGAACAGGAAATATTGGGGAGGGTTGACTCTTTTTTTAAGCTGAGCAGAAAGGAGAAAAAAGGAGAGGGAAGAAGGTCAGGCTGACAAAGTGAAGGGTGAGAAGAGGGGGGGGGGGGGACTGGGGGAGGAGGGTTGCTTGTATGAACTCTTAAACCCAGTATGTCAGCCAAGACAGGAAAACCAATCTCCTTCATGGTTGAAAGAAAATACTGACTAATACTTTTGCCCCCTAGTCCCTTTAGCAGGATGGGGTGTCAGTTTTGCTAATTCTGGTCTATTTTGCTCCAATACAACCAAAAATATTTAGTGTATCAAAATGATGGCAAGGCTAGGTGTGTTTCTAAAAGCAGTGGTGAGACAGTATGAGAACACTGACTGTGTCTTAGCATAATATATATTTTATAAGATCAACATTCAATTTCCTGCACAAACCCAAGAAAAATAATAATAATCGTTAGTGCAGCGGCAAAGCAAATGTAATAGGATCACGATAAGATGACCTCAGTCACGGCACATTTCCTCTCTGGTCCTCTTTTATAAATTGTGTGGATGAAATGAAAAAGCACCACGCCAGTGAGCGATGACACGGAAAGACGACACCTTCCCCATGGAGCTTTAAAATGTATCTTTTGCCTTCATCATGACTTTGTTATTGTTAAACTGTTGTCAAAGGAATGTAAGATTCTGTAAGATTTCTCTGTCAGCTGGGGAAAAAATTCTTTGACATTTTGAAAGCCACACACAAATGTAAATGACCTTTTATTTCACACCAAAGCTGAACAGAATTAACAAATAAATAGCTACATTTTATAAGTGATTTTAAAAACTTCTTCCTAAGGCACTGACATTAAAAAAAAACAACTTTTTACTTTTATTTGCACATCAAAGAGTTCTTATATTTGCTACCAGTGACAATGTGTAGGCTTTTATACACCTATAAATATATATATAAATATACACTCTCATACACGTGAGAGTGTGGGCAGTAACAGAGATGATAAAAAAAACCCGTCTGTGGCAGGTCTTGAGTACATCACAATGAGATTTGGACTGTGGGTGGAGAGTATCTGAGGACTCCTGAGGTTGATATTGCCACAGTTACACTCCCCACTGGGAGGATGAGATGAGCTTAGAACACTAGCAACCCACCATGCTATCATGTAGATGTAGTGTGATGCACTTCTAGCATATGTCACTAGTGTATGTGGGTTTCTCTTGTCTGTGCTTACATATGACTTGGTTATGACACTAGTTGCATATTACACTGCTATTTAATTTCAAGACGTGGAGGATCCACAGTGCAACTCGTCACCTATAAATTTTAAGTGCTCCTGCGAATAAACTGCATCAGAAAGTACATTTGTATAAAATGTAATCTCAGCTACATTTATTACATCCACCCATCATGTCATAAATAAGTAACATGACTTCCCAACACTTCTTTGTACCAAAAACAGCAAAGCAAAGGGTTTTGCATCAGCTATTGTGCACAACTAGTCAACTATCATCAGGAAAGACTGAAATATAATGCTCTTTTAAATATCTGTGAATTGTTTTTGCCTTTTTCCACACTCTGCCTTCAGTTTCAGCTTTGCACAACTCTGTGATCAAAGAAGAGGACTGAAGCGAGCAACCTGACTGCTTCCACGCACGATCAGACACTTGGCATTGATGGTAGGGAGGTGGAGTCAGATGCTGAAGTCAGTCTAACTAAATCTCCACAACGACTTTGTCTTTGGGTTGAAGGTCTCTGCATCTGTTTCACCCACGCATGACGCACTTGTGTCGAGATTCACTTATCCTCATCTCCCTGTTCTCTTTCTTCAGCCATCTATCTCTATTCTATTCTCTCTGCTTGATTGAATTCGGGAGAGGCTCTTTGCTGAAAACCCACCAGCTGAGACAAAAGCAGAGAGACAATCCTCGCTGTATGAGACACACGAGCACACGCAAGGAAAAGCTCTAACCAGGGACAAGAAAACAGACACAAACCTACAAACAGGCAAAAGCAAATACACACATGAGGGCTTCAAACACACAGCAAAGGATTTAGAGGGTGTCTTAAAGATTTGTATTCCTCCTTCAATAAGCAGCGCTTCCCATAAAAGCTCTCTGACAGCAGGTTATCGTGCAAATGTTCAGGCTGTTTTGACGGCACCTTTTGAAGTAAATAAACTCACGTTGGCAGCCAGCTGAGATGTCAGAGTCGCCACCTTCTCCTGAGAGGCGTCCAGCTCCCGACGCAGCTTTCTGATTTGCTGGTTGGGAAGGAAAAACGAAATGTGAACATTCGGTTAATGCGCCTAAAAACCATAAAGAAAGTAAGACTGATTGTGATGTAAACACGATGTGAATTTGCAACTCCCATGGTGATAACTCTGATGTAAAAAGAAAACTGTGCAGGCACATGGGAAACTGTTTAAAAAGACACTGGAGTGAAGTGTGAACATAAAGTGTGGGGGATTACCGTGGAATTTTGGACTGTTTGGCCCTTGATTGAAAAGAAAAGAGTAAAAATTAACGCTATGTTGCATGCCTCCATCAAATAGCAAGTCCTGATGTGGCTGGAGAGACAGAGGTTATCAACAAGCCACAGCAATGTTCTTTTCATGGTTTCCGCAGCAAAGTGAGGAAATGGAGACATTTATGCCTGAGATGGTTCAAAAAGTTTTTGCAAATACCTGAAATTCATACTTATATAATTCACAACAGCAAGACGTCTCAGTTTAGCAAGGCGGACAGCTCAGTGCAAGAATGCAAGAACAGTTTTCTGGATTATCATATGATAAGATTAGCTGTATATTTTTATTCAGTCACTCAAAAATATAATGTCTTTTTTATTATTTGTTTTGAATTCTAAATGTGTTTAGATTTACTGCACAGTCACTGTAGTCCACAACTGTTAGTTTGCACAGAGTGAGCTGTCCCGGAATACTAAACTCCACTTATCTGGCAGGGTTAAAACAAACACTGCAGTGTATTTGCGATCACTGTTTGACCCAAAGTTACGCTTAAAGCACATGTAGAGACAAAAGGGATGAAAGTCAAACCATAAAACTGGAAAATCAAAGTAGAATCAGTGATAAACTGAATAGGCTTTTTGAACAAGAGCCAAAGGTCAGGGCATGGATCCCATTACAGAGTAAGTGTTTGTAATGAGTTAACAATAAGCTATGCAGAATAGTAAGGATGTGTAGATATTTATGATCTAGATGAAATCAATGCATGATTAGATAAAGCAATGCGACATAGAGCTAAAATAATTGATTGCAGAATTTACTTTTATTTATTCACAAAACACTCTTTTGTTTAGTTCAGAGATCAAATAGATATCACTGTTTGTGCTTTGATTGACATGCACAGATTGTCTCTGAATACAGACGCTGTGCAGCACAAAGACATTCAGACACAGAAATCAGCCAACAGGGACATGCACGTGACATCTTAGACTAAATCCCACACAAAATCAAATCAAATGGGTCAAAAGTAACCTTTAGGGATGCACAGCAAGACACAAGGCACTCGAACCTTCACCCACACCACAGAGCTGCTCAGTGGCTGTACCGAGCAGTTTCAAAGCATCGGTGGCTCTAACTATAAGCCTGTTTAGCTGAAAGCTGATAAGGAGAAGCATACATGCAAACAGAAAGATGGACACAATGTTAGCCGCCCTTACCTCTGAGTGAGCTTTTTCCTCTGTCTGTAAGAATCAAGCAAACACAGTTTAGAAACATTTGATCGCTGCTCTGGGGAGATGTGTTCCATCAGTAAAAGCACCAAAAGCAAAGAAAAGGGTCATTTTAATTAAAAATAGATTAAAATGACAGAAAATGTAAAAAATTAAAGAGGAAATGGTTTATGTACAGAATGACTCAACCTGATGGAAAACTTTGTAAACAAAACCATCTCCATCGTTCATCTGAACGTTTACTTTGCAAATTGCTAGCGCAGTCTGAAACGGGCAGACGTGTGTGGTAATCGATTCCTCTTGCTACAACTAATCCCCCACCTCACTGAATCCGAGAGTCGAGCACTGCATGTGCTATTACTGCAGAATCTAAATTGTCAAGAATTTGTTACTTCAGACAAATGCTGTCACAGAAACTTGCCATGTCTTCTACAAAAATAGAGAGGAAAAGGGAAAGACTGAATGCTACGTAACATCACTGATAGGAGAGGACGGAAAAGATGTTCACCCTTCAAATTAAAAAATAAAGATGATTTCAGTTTTATTTTATTTTTGTATGCAAACATATGAAGTTTGGAGCTCAACAGAAAAAATGTTTGAAACAGTCTGAAGATCAATCTTGTTTCAAATACTGGCAGCTAGGGATGGGTATCTGAAGGTTTTATCTTCAGATACCCATCCCTTTGTCACCGGTTTTATCCAATACCGGTGACAAACTAGTACTTTTGAAACGGTGCTGAACCGTTGAACACAAACTTTGTCCAAAAACCTCTTATGTTTAGCTGTTTTTGTGTAAAAAGTTAACAATGTTAGGCTTTTCTGCAGCTATAGGGCATATATGGTATCACTCTTGGCTGGAAGCAGTGCTTAAACAATGGAAAAAACAAACTTTGTCCAAAAGCCTCTCATGTTTAACTGTTTTCCACTTTTTCTTTGGTCATTTTAGCCTTTTTGGCCTACTCAACGTAAATTACACACGAACAACATCAAGCTTCACACACAGAGAAGAACGGCTGCTGCCGCCATCATCATCCGTCATCATTTCTGCTACACTGGCAGGGCTAGGGGCCAGGACTCTACTCTTCTGGTTCTTGGGGGACGTTGCTAACTCCGGGTCCGATAACAGGCACCACACCCGCAGTAGATGTGCCCGGTGTGAGCTCTTGCAGCAAAGCTATCAAATACGGTGCATTTCTCGGCTTTTAAAAAACCGCTATGCGTCGCCAGGTGTTTCATTAGATTTGATGCTTTAAGGTGATACTGTGCAAAGGAGGTTATCCTTTGCACAGTATCACCTTAAAGCACTTGTTGCAGGCTGCTGAGTTTGCTGTGGAGTACAGCCAGACTTTTGCCCGCTTCGCCTTGGGGATTTTTAATCTGTAGCTCTGCTCTAAAAGATCGTACGTACCTGGGCCCGCCTACTATCCTTGGAAACGTAAAATGATTGGCTAGAATCCAAAGTGTCTGACATCTCAGGAAAAAAAAAGCACCGAAATAAAGCACCAAAATGTGCGCTGCTTTTCGGTCTGGTTACTACCGTTTATGTCAGAACGATACCGGTACCCATCCCTACTGGCAGCTGCCAGTGTTACCCCTCAGCCTGCATGTAGATGCACCTATGGCATCACTTTGAAAGTCCTAGATGACATCCTCCTTGATGTATTGTGTTCACAGGATGTGAGTTCACTGAATTTGGAACTCAAATTTTCAGTAGATGCACCAATGGTATCAATTTCAAAACACATCATCATACGTCGCCTTGATCTCAGGTTATCGCATTCACAAACTTCAGTGTCCACGCTATTCATCCAACTCCCTGGTGGGGTGATGACAAAAGGATTTTAAGTGTGCCTTATAGTGTGGAAAATACGTTATACAGAAGAAAAGAATAGATCGCGATATATATCGTTACCGCACATGCTTCAAATTATATCGCGATATGAATTTTAGGCCATATCGCCCAGCCCTAGTGGCGTCTTCTTAAAGGCTAGAAGCCAAAAGAGAAAGGCAGAGAAGATGCTAAACTGCTTTTGCCAACTTCAAAATGCTCTATGTGAGTGGAGGAAGGCATCAATTAGGACTGAAAAAAATATTGTCACCCCGTCCTGGTAAATATTTGCAAATAGTTACAGTCAATTCCTTTTTCTGAAAATCCTTCTGAACACAGTGATTCAGTAATTATTTATATTACAATATAGAAATTGACATGTTTGTATGGAATGCTATTACTACAGAAAAAAATAATAGAAGTGAAATCTCAGATATATTGCTATGGTTAGGGTTTTTTTCTCAGTAGGGATTTCTGTCACACTTCTTAGATACTTACCGCAGAATACAGTGACGACGTGCTGGAAACCAAAGACAGTGAGGAGCCATGGACTGTAAGACACAGAGACGGTGCACATGAGTAAACAAAGACTTTTAAGGTAAAACGTGGATATTTGTCCTTTAACTGTCTTCACCTTGTGACTCAGTTTGCAATACTTATATTATTAGAAATTATTTGGCTGATTGGTCAGCAGCTCTTATGCTTACTTATTCAGAAAATGTAAAGTGAAAAATTGCAATCAGTTGTGGGACTAAAAAAAAAAACAATTTAAAATGCTGACCAGAACAGAGACCTATCAGCAATGCTGGTATCAAAGCACTTGATAGCTGGTGGGACTTTGCTTTGTTGAAAGTGACAGTAAAAACTGTTTTCGCTGTTTTAGCTTTTTTGTGAGGAATTGGGTTTGTTCTGGACAGTCCGTCGAGAATGAGTGTGTGTCTCACCTTCATCAGTGCTGTCTCTGAAGGACCCAGAGCGGCTGATGGCACGTGGTCGTTCCTCCAGAGAGGTTGCGCTGCCACCCAGTGGGTGACCCTCTCCATACAGGTCAAAGGAGTCCTGGGTGGGGATACTGTTGGAGCGGCTCATGCTGCTGCTGCCTGGTGGCAGGTTATACTGACTGATGTTGGTGGGGCTCACTGCACAGAGCAAAACATATACATCTACCATGTTATATTTTCACGTGCGTTTCAGTCATCAATCATTCATGCAGGCACTAAAAACCTACTTATAACAAGTTGTTAAATAATAATCACCTCAGATTATTTATTTATGCACTGAAGAATGCTTTAATTAATTACAGATCATATCACAAGGATCCTTTTTGTGCTCATATGTCTATCATAGCCTTTGTTGATACGATATACACATTTTAGGCACAATAGGTTTTTTCCTTTTGACTCACAGAGGTTGGAGTAGTGGTATTTTCCTGTGGTGGTGCAAGAGGCTCCAGGAGGAGACAGAGGGGACTGGCTGCCAGTATCCTGAAGACCTCCTGTTGAATGGGACCTCAACCACTCCTTCCCTTCTTCATGAGATGTCTGCCTGGAGGAGGTAGGGTATCTGAAACCCACAAAACACAGTTTAAACTCAAGGCAAGACATTACTTTTTAGTAATGAACTTTATTACTTAAAAGTTCAAGTGATGAAGACGTGTAAACTAATGAAGCTACACAGTAGAAGGATGTGAGCAGATGGCATAAAAATATTAAAAACCATACCACACAGAAGTGGATGTGCATGCATCTACACGCATGCAGTCATTTATGTATAATAACTATATATATTCACAAACACACACACACACACACACACACACACACACACACACACACACACACACACACACACACACACACACACACACACACACACACACTACTCAGGCTTAAAGCTGCCAAACACACAGACTCTGCTGTTGATCTCCTCTCTCCCAAACTCTAAAGTAATTCAGCAGCAGAAGCCCCCCTTATCGCACACATGACAATCGGCCATATTTAATCCTCTGAGGATGATAATTGAGTTTGCACTCATCTCTTTTCAGCGGCTTCTTCCTTCCAACGCCCCCATTACTACGCTTGTCACATCTGACCCTGCTCTAGTCCTGTGTCTGTGCTCGCTTTTCTCTCCAGCAGCAATTGGGCGTCTAAGATTGCACTGAGTGCTGTCAGACTGCAGCTGGAGTTGAAATGGAACAGACTGAAATATCCAAGGGTCAGTGTTTGAGTCGGTATACTTAGTGCTAATATAATCACAACCAATCCGCTTATTTACAGCGTATGACTAAAGGAGGCAAATCTATTAATCTAAGCTCCCCATGTAGAAAGTCTACAGTTTATAAAAGAGCTATTTGGCATGTTTAAGATGAAAACAGATTGCCATTGCCAATAAAAACGTTAAAGTGAACACTGCAGACCGCACTGAGGCAAAAAAGGCAAAAGCGTCGTGCGAGATCAGATGGTTTTAGGCTCCATATAGCACGAGCGTCAAATGCTCGAAAAATGAAAGAACACCCAGCATGCCCCATCCGACACCTTTCCAGCAGTACTCTATAATTGGCTGGAAAGGCTGTTCCCTGTATCAGTTGTGCCACTGTGATGAATAGGTCATGGTGCTTCAGTTTCCGTCCACTCAGTTACAGCTAAATTCAAAACATTCATTCTATACTCGCCTCAGCTAACAGAGCAAATGTTATCGGAAAGTTTAAGCCATTTTTGGAAGCCGAGAAAGAACTCAGTGGCTGCGTTTGCCACATTTCTAACTTTGCATGAGATGAGTGTAGGATTAGGATGAGCACAGAGAAGCAGACAAGCAGACAGATGGAAAAACACACTGCTCCCTCATCATCCCAGATAGCATTCATAGTATGTTAGAGATTTTTTTTTTTATGCATCAATTCAAAGAAGTCAAAATCTAATTTGAGCTCCAGAGTTTGTTACATAATTGCATGATAAACAGAAGGGAAAAAACTCTAAAAGTTGAAAGAGAAAAAATCCACAACTAGACTCAAATATGAGTTCCCTATATATTTAGTCAAATGTAAACAGACTGTATGTGAAAAGATGGACATAGTTTATTGGGCTAAAAAAAGGAGGTTTTCAAACGACATTATTCCTAGGCAGCGGGGGTTGACTCCTCAAGATGAAAACAAGACTGTGGGAAAACAATGCTTGTGACCTCAATAAACATTTTCCTGGTGAGTTAGGCTCTGTAGTTTAAAGTCTTAATAAACACAACAGGATATTCATTTGTAAATTATGGATGATAAAGCAGGTCATGCTTTATTAGTGTCTCAAGGGAATTAACCATCCATTTAGGTGAGATTATGGTGGCGATGTTTGCTTTTTATCAACAGCCTTTGATCAGTGCTTGACTTAAGTGCTAATATAATCAGAACCAATCTGCTTGTATCACTAAAGGAGTCACACACTGTAAATCTGCAGTTCATAAAAGAGCTATTAAGCATACTTAGGATGTAAACAGATGGTGTAAACATAAATGTTTACGCTCATTTTTTTTTTTAATATCGACTCTCAGTTTTTATTTAATCTTCAAAAAGTTTTTATTGAGCAGTAGTTTTTCATTGACCCACATCCTTATCAAACCTGTGTACTTTATCATTATCACCTCAGCCTAATTATACATAATTCTGAACATGAACTGATGGAGAGTGGTTGAAAAACTAGTTAATAATTTTTATCGATTCATTTATCTAATAATTTAAAGCAGGGGTGTCCAACTCCAGGCCTCAAGGGTCGGTGTCCTGCAGGTTTTAGATATCACCCTGGGTCAACACACCTGAATCAAATGATTCGTTCATCACCATTTAGCCATTTAGGTCATTTACCCATTTAAATCAGCTGCCACCGCCTTTGAGGCTTGGAGTTGGACACCCCTGCTTTAAAGTAAATATTTTACTGTTTATTGATGACTTTTACCTGGGAAACACTGCTATGGATTGTGCAAATAATGACACATGAAAAACAACACGGAAAGCCTGACATTAGAATGCAGATGCATGTATGCATGTGATCTACATGGAATGTGGCTGCAAATGTGTTGTACCTCAGTCCTTTTTTGGGAAGTGTGTTTCTGTCAAGTGGCATGCTGTTAAAACACAGAGGATGAGCAAATTAGATGAACACCTGTAAACATTTGTTTTGTGATACACAAGAAAAAGAACTGGTCACATTTTACAAACTTGACTTTTGACATACACAAAGATGCACACAATGGAAAATCCATTAAGACATTACTAATGCACCTCAGTGCAAAAGACTACGTGGATAAAACAGGCAGAATTGAGATTGTTTCATTTTTGAGACAGCTGAACTAGTGAGGGGAAATAAATGTGTTTGCTGCTTCTATGCTCTATGATGTAATTCATGCAAAGTGTGTGGACAAAAAAATGGAAAGGCCTTTATAGAGGCTACACGTAGGAATGGGTGTCAGAAATGATCTACTGTGGTATTTTTTCTGTCATGGCTTTGGACTGTGAAACTATCAGGACTGTTAAATGTCTTTAATGCTAATTGCTATCCTTATAGTACTTTGAGACAATAACTACTGATTGAACTAGCAGATATGTGAAATTTAGGAGTAGAGGAGGTATTATTTATTTATTTTCTATAGTATCAAAACCATGCCAGAAAAAGAAACTTAAATTGAACCAAACTGTTTTGTGAATGAATGATTTCTTTCTGTTATTCATCTGTATTGTATGTCTACATCTTAGGATAGGGAGATAAACGTTTTGTCTCTGTTCTCAAATGAAACAATGAATACGATTCTTCCCAATCGTATTCCCTGTTACTCACCCCTCAGACAGGGTGGACTTGACACTGCCGGTTCGTGTAACCTTGGGCCCATGGTGGCCCAGCGGCATATCAATGGACTCAGAGCTGGTGTGCAGACTGGTCATGCTTTGGCAGCTCAGTGTGTCCTTGCTGCCAGCAGATGAGCTACAGGCAGGCCAGGGCCGAGCGTTGGAGGGCAGGGAGAGGCCAGAGGCTGGGCTGGAGGCCGGGGAGTCGGTGCACATGTCTGGGGTTTTACCATACAGAGGGCTGCTGCCACCGCTCAGGCCGCCAGCGCTGCCCAGGCTCCCAGTGCCAGAGGAAGGCGAGTCCAGACTGGCTTGTCTCGCCAGTGTGCCGTGCGGGCTGCCCAGTATTGAGGGGCACTTGCCAGAGTCGGGCGTGCCAGGAGAGCTGGCCTTGCTGCTAGCTTTGGTACCAAACAATCTGAGGGCAGAGAGGTGGGTGCAATCATTTAGAAATGCTCAAAAGACAAGTGATGAGCATCTGCAAGATCCTTACTGGAAAATTTAAGGACTCTGGTATACTTCGGGTGTGACAAGTGCAGTGATCTCACTGGTCAAACATTACAAAGAAAACTACTACAATGGTCACAAGAAACCCATTTTAGGATAGTGGAAAGCAGCTTTTATAAACATCCCCTTGCTTTGCTGTAGCAACAACTTTATATAACAGATAAAAAATATTAAGCACATTTTACAATACATTTCTCCCTGGCAGCGAACTCGACCTCGGCTAGATGTGAACTCTCAGTGATTTACACTGACACATCTGCTTTCACAGCTTCGCCGTTTCAACCCTGTGACTTTAAATAACCTAATCTGTTAGGCCACTCAACCCTGTTTGCCTTCTGCATATGCTCAGGCAGCCTGCTACTCTGCTTGTGCCTGTCCCACTCTGTCACCGCAATCACACAATATATAGGTGACACACTCTGGGGGGAAGAAAAAAAGCTATGACATGCAGATGAAACGTGTTGGCTTGACAGATTGGATGGGACGGATGTTTGGACGCGCCTGCCGAATGCATGCTTCTAATGAGTGAGGGACTGGTGTGCAGAGAAAGTCCTGTCTCTTGTCAGTTCTGATAAACACTGCTGGGTTGAATTTGCTGAATGAAAAGCCATCAGACCCTCATCTTCAGGGTAAAGATGTGTTGCATTTGCAGTGACTTATCAGCTACACCAGGGAGCAATCTATGTTATGGCACCCCTTAGCTATGCAGCCAAGTCTACTGACTCTATCAATATTTCCACGGAGGCAATCTAATATGATTTATTAAGTGTCTGATATTCATCTTGCACATCCAAACATATCTAAAATTGATAGAGATGGCATATATTTTAAGTGAAACTTTGACATTATGGATATCTTTTCTCTCCGTTATAGAAACCTGGGGAATAACCTGCAGTGGAAAAGCGTCACTAAACACCACGTATCATAATGGATTAAACTCGCCTAAATTCTGGAGAAGATATGGTGAAAAGATTCAGTCTTTCAAAAAAAACTGCCCCAAATGTCCTTGCTGTAAAAGATGCTGCTTTTAACTAACAATCAGGGAATTGAAAAAGAAATGTGATGAAATGCTGGATTCACACAGAAACACAAAGTCAGGGACAAAGACAGAATGAGTGCAGTGTGTGCGTATGGTGTATCAGACCTGCGAAAGGTTGGAGAAGCGATATCGGGGTACTTGGAGCCTGGTTGCCTGAGGCCTGACTGGCCTGTTGAGGTGGAGGTGGGGCTAGACTTTGGGGAGGTGGATAGTCCTGCTGCTGGGTCTTGATCTGACACCGCCACTTTCTCCTTATCGGTCTGGTTGATGGTGATGGGACTAGAGCGTTCTGAGCCCACTTTTCCATCCCTGCGTTTAGTGCCTGTTTGCGTTGTTGCCCCACCAGCTGACTTGCCACTGACATTTGAGTCGATGCTGCTGGAGCTGGAGCGATGCCCACTGCGCCCTGCGGCCACCCCACTGGAGGATTTAGCTGGCCTGGGTAAGGAGCGGTACTGCAGGGTCACTTTCGAGCCACTGCAGCTGAGCAGGATGCCATCATCCTGGGGCTGTGAGCCATCCAGACTGGTCTTCCGCACACCACTGATGCTTGCACCTTTGCTGATGGCAGCTGAAGATTTGGGTGCCTTGCCCAGGGTGGCTGAGCCACTGGCGAGTATCGCACCACTGGAGGTAATTAGCGTGCCAGTGGCACCCTGGATCTTCTTGTAACCAAATGAGCCTGTGGTGGGTGGGCGTGTGATGCCAGAAGGGGGTTTCTTGCCTTCGTCCCCACTACTCCTGCCAGCGTCTGAGGGTGAGCGCTGGATGCCAGATGAGCTCTTGGAAGGCACCTTACCCTTCTCTGAGGCTTTTGCATCATCGGTTTTGCCTGTCAAAGTACACAAATCCAAAAATATCACCAATCATTGCATCATCTGTACTCGGAGTTTACCCTTTGGTGCCATAGAATCAATATATTGGTGCCCACAGCCAGAATCACAGCAATCGTTGCTCATGCTACAGCCAACCAAGTTATCTGAAGCACAACTCGCTGTGTTTAGTAAACATTTAAGATTCAGTCATGTTCATCTTAAATCAACATTATTATTACGACTTCTTCTTCAGCGTCACGTAAGCCCATTAAAGTTATTTTTGCTCTTTCTATAAAGATCACTTTCTGATGTCTGATGTGAAAAACATTCACTAGGAAATCACCTAGATACAATCATTTTTAATGTTCTAATATTAATACCAGTAATACTCGATCAATATATGTTGTAGATTAGGGTTTTTTTTTAAATGGAGTCTCCTTTGTTCAAAAAGTCACATTTTAATTCTGTCCCAGTCTATAATCGCTTTGTATAATTGCTCTACTTCCAAAATCACTTCTAGACAAAGATGGCAGGCTTCCTCTCCTACCTGGTGTTTTCAGGGCAGCGGACGTCCCCTTGGTTCTGGGTGGTGTAATGCCCACCTGGGCTGTCATACCCCTTCTCCATGAGCCTGTTTGGGACATCTGGGCCAGCGCAGCTGCCTTCTGACTGGCGTCCTCATACTGGCCCTGGGTTTGGGAGGATGGGGAAGATGAGGAGGTCTTCCAACGGGAAGAGCCACTGCTAGGATCCATGCTTGCATCCAGCTCCTCCTCTACCTTCTTCAGGTCTTCAGCTCCAGCCCAACTGCTGCTCACCACCTGCTCCGCATGCTTGGATCTGCTTCCTTTCTGGGACTGTGGGGGTTGTCATACAGAGAATCAGGGAGTGCACACAAACTGATAAATAGATGGAAGAATTCAGTAACAAAACTGTAATGCTTCTGGGCTGCAGTTTATACCAGTAAGTCTTAAAAGCATTACCTGATCATCACTGCAGTTCCTTAACAATATTTATAAAGAATGCAAAAAAAAAAATGCAGTGACAGGAAATGATTGCAAGCAAGTTTTATATCTTGGTTTGTCAACCCTGCCTTAAATGGAAGAAATCAAATAAGTCACAATGCTTTGAAAATTATATGCAATATTTAAACTATTGAAAGGTGACACACTAAAGCAATACAGTCAGCAAAGAGTCAGCAAAAAGAAGTAAGTCTCTGCACAAGCTGAGCAGCGTGGTTTATGTCTGCATGTGAAGTGTTAGCTATCTTTGGAATCTCCCACATCCAGATCTCTGCTTTTGAGGCGCATATGAACGCACCCACACAAACTCAAACACATAGCAGTGACAGCTAGCCTACCGGAACAGATGGTCAGTCTCCCTAGCAACGGTAGAGTCTCTTAAGAGCCCAGTCTGTTAGGTATTTCATGAGGGGCCAAGAATACTTGGCAGAATACGGTGAACGTCTCTGAGGAGAACCGAGCACCGGCCCTCTGTCCACAGTTAATTCCTTGAGCACAAATATAGAAATCAAATTAAGAAAAATAGGAACTGTTCAAACTATAAAACTATACAGTCCTGCTCTCACTATAGCAAGTATGCATACTGCTGTGATTTGGTGCTATTGTTGCAATATTATCAAAGGAAATGTCAAATCACCATAAATCCTCAATCCCACATTGCCCCAATGCAATGCAACACCAAAAAAAATGAAACCCTCCATGCCTGCTTCTTTCACACACTCCACCGCCAGTTTATAATGGGAGCTTATCCCAACGGTAACAAAGCAAGTCAAGTAAGCGTGTAAAATTGTTGGTGTGTGCCTTGATCAAGACATAACACAAAGTTGAAAGAAATGTGAAAGTTTAAATAACAAGATGTGACAAGACATGCAAAGTCGTGATTTTCAAGTTGGTCACGGCAGGAAATGTGTTTTAGTTTGGGAGATAATTACTGTGCAACTAACACTGGTTACTCACAGCTGCTAATTGCTCTATAGGTATCATGACTGAGACTTGATGCTACATGCTCTGTGAGTGCGGCTTTGAACTAAACACTAATCCTACAATAACACCATGGTCACGATAGTAATATGCTTATCATTTATTACATTTAACTAAAACACATGAGGAGGTATTAGCGCATATATTTCATGAGATTATGGGAGAGTAGATGACTATGAGTGCATCCATCCATCTAATTTTTTCCTGCTTATCCAATTCATGGTCATGGGGGTTGATGGGGGGCTGGAGCCTATCCCAGCTGCCATAGGGTGAGAAGCAGGGTACACCCTGTGTGGGCTAACACAGAGAGACAGGCAAGCATTCACACTCACATTCACACCTATGGCCAATTTAGAATCACCAATTAACCTAAACTCCATTAACTTCATGTCTGTGGACTGTGGGAGGAAGTCGGAGAACCCACGCACACACGGGGAGAACAGGCTAACTCCACACAGAAAGGTCCCAACCAGACGGTGGATTCAGACCCAGGACCTAGGCAATAGTGCTAACCACTACACCGCTCACGGCAGTGCTTTCATTCTAATAACTAGATATTAGACAAATATCATCAAAGAAACTAAAACTAACAATGAAAATAATAAAAACTGACCAAGGAAACAATCAAAACTGAACTGAAAAGAGTCAAACAAACTGAAATTACAGTTGAAAATAAATGGGCAAAGCTAAAATAAACAGTTTAATGTGAAACTGTATAATAACTTTGATGCTTAGCAGATGTAACATTAATCAAATTCATCCTGACCTGTGACCATTAATACTAAACCCCCCCAATCATACTATATGTAGCAACTTATAATATTTTTGCCACATAAATAAATGAAAATGAAGCATTATGACATATGGTGGTACTAATGTAAACATTAACATCTGCACCAGAATTTATGGTAATCTCTCTAATTAACAAATGAGTAATTTTGCCTGAACCCATAGAGGCAGAGACATGGAACAGAAGCCTAAAAAAGTCATAGATGATGACGAGCCACAGACAACGTGTGGCTATCCCAGCTGTGAGCCTATTTGAGGCTATCGAATGGTTATTTTTTATGTGCTCACCTGCGCTCCTTTGCTTTTGCGCGATGAGCTGACACAGGAGTATGCAGGTGTGTTCAGATCATCAGTACTGATGTTGTCCAGCGTGTCACTTAGGCCGCTGCTCACTGAGCTGCTGTCGTCCCAGCTACAACAGGAGAGAGAGAACGGACAAAGAAAAAGACAATGGTGAGGCCACAAGAAGAATGAAGTTTTAACCATCCACGATAGCAAATCATTTCCAGTCATCAAACCGCTGTGCTCCTTTAGTGCATAATTTGATATCATGAGTTTTTGAGACTTCCCAGTTTAATTGTTTTCCCCACAAAATGACATTTGTAATGTAATGTAAATTTTTGTGTTTGCAAGCTCAAGCATTATTTGCTACTATCAGACATAATTAATCACCTGCAGTAATAATACATTAGTTTGTATTTGCTTTCACTGAGCTCTTACACACATATATTCAGACAGGCAAACTGAGAGTCGGCCGGCACTATAGATGTGACAGCTCACAGACACATGTACAGTCCTGACAGTCCTCACACACAACAACTGGTTTACATACCAACATATCGAGTCTCATCTGTGTGTGTTTGCCTTTGTGTGTTGGTCTGTGTGTGTTTCGATGACACACCCGTAATTAGCATGACAAATCTAACCAAATAGCTCCAAGACTTTAATTTCTGAAAAAACAAATAAAGATGTACCGAAATGAGTGCTCACACCACATCACCCTATAATATTCAAACAGACAACAATGTCAAGGGGCTTTGATATGTCACAAATGTTCATTTTGTTAAAAAAAAATGATAAAATCAGAATTAAAAACATAAAGAATGAAATTCTGGAAATGGAGAACCCAGAAAGCAGGAGAGGCGGGATAGTAGGAGAGCTGGAGATGTGCAGACATGTGCAGAAGAAGCCCAGAGAAAATGATGGTGCTGTTGAGTCAAAAGCATAAGAGCTGTTATGCTTAAAACATGCATATAACTTGACTTTTGTTCCTTTTAATTGTGTTTTTAGGCATGATAATAAAGAGAGAAACCTACTCTACTCCTGTTTCCCAAACCAAGGTGTACAAAAACACAGTGCCTGAGTGTAGGCACTAAATATTAATCGGTGGTGTATATTCACTTGACACCTGTAATGAATTTAGCGGTGAGCAGACACCTAGCAACCCAGTTGTCCACTGGTGCAATGCAAAATTGATTTGGTCTTCTGACAGATTTCAAATGAGCAACATTTATCTTCACAGCCCAAATCTGACCAGGCCCCTGACTCATAATGTCTGCAGGAAACTTTAGGTGAAACAATCTGTAATGAGATCAACATTTCTAGAAATTTAGGCTGGAAAAAAACCTGCCCCATGTAAAAAGAAATATTTCTATAAAAAAGCACAAAAGCAAACATCAAAAGTAGGGCTGGGCTATATCATACCGTTCACGGTAATACCGGTGTAATTTTGGGCAACGATAGGAAAATGAAATATCGCGATAGAATATGGGTAAAACGCGCATGCGCAGTGCCTAGGTTTACATACGCACATGGCGGCGACGCAGAATGAGAAGAGCGAACACGGATCGTTAAATGAAACGGATGAACCAGAACTGGTTTGTAAAAATGCTGCAACTTCAGTGGTGTGGAACTGGTTTGGCTTTCGTCCGTCAGATACACAACAAAGCACTATTTTTGGTAGAGCATGCTAGCGGGCCGTCGTTATTACCGTGTTGTTTGGAAAATACGGCACACTTAAAATCAATCCTTTGATATTTTTTTTTCCTGAAAATCGACAGTGCCCCTTATAATCCCGTGTGCCTTATGCATGAATTCTGGTTGTGTTTACTGACCTCGAAACGATTTTATGTACACGGCGCTCGAAAATCTGTCAAATGTTTTAGTACGACTTTGCTAAGCTACGAACCCGCACCGCTTGATGGATTGTTGGAGCATTACGGCTATATTAGGCAGGAGCCTCGCGGAGTGATATGTATGATATGTACTGTGCTTCAACGTAATATTACCATATTGTGTGTGTGTGTGTGTAACCTCTTTTTAAGTTGTGGATATTATACATGGTTATGCTGAGGATATGTCGGCCAATTTCCACTGGAAATACCTTTTGGTTAAAATGTCAGCAAGGAATTTGCACTGTAAATTTTTTATATAACTTCAATGCACATAAAAAAACAGCTGCTTGTTTAAGTGAAAATACATTAATGGGGTTTTTTGCACTAAAGTTGTGGAGTTGTAAAGTATTTTGTCTAGTGTCAATTATATCGTCAGTTATATCGTTATCGCAAATTTTAAAATTTATATCGTGATAGATATTTTTGGTCATATCGCCCTGCTCTAATCAAAAGCCAATTTCTTATTCTGTCATTCTAATTTTTTATTCTGAGATTTCATTTTCCTTCAACTCAAAGCCATTATTGGAAAAACGTCTCAGAGATGGAGGAATAAAGCACAGCAGAAGCTTGTCGCACAAAAAATAAATGCTATCCCAGCTGTCAGTCTGAGCTTTTCAGTCGTGTATCTCCAGCTTTAGAGGAGCTATTCAACAAAAAAGAAGCTGCTGTTGAGCACTGAGAGTGAGCTTCTAATATCAAACACAAGTCAAACCAAGTGTTGCACTCAGTGTGTTTCTGCACATGCCAGACTTTTACAAACAAAGCTTGATCAATGGCAGTGAAACATGCCTGGCTTGCTTTGCTTTAATCTTTTCCTCTTAAGCTGATACTGCGGCTTACCTTTCACTGGATGAGTGTCCAGGGTAACTGTACAGGTTTGTTCTGGTTTTAAGATGCATTTAAAATTTTGGTGGTGACAGGCTGCCAGGTCACCTTCATGATCTGATTTAAAGTTACCCCTTTGCTCAGCACAGCTTGTCTCACAAACTACAAAAGTGACAGGGGGAGTTACGCCGCACACTGCTGCTTCCTGTGAGACCAGCCTTCCTCAGCGTGACAGACAACAGGGGCAGATGGAGTCTAACTTAAACCTCCAAATGAACTTGGGAGCCCTCCAAAATAAAACCCCCGCCAAAAAAACATTTTTGTTAGCAGAAACACAGAAAGATGTCTTTTATGTCTAATTAAACTTAAAATTATTGATATGAAAAGCTGAACATTAAATTCTATTTTTAAGACAGGATAAGCAGAGATCAAAGACAGATGGTTTTGCACACCAAAAATCATTCAAGCTTATTTTAAAACTTCTCTGTTTACACACTGTTAGCAGTTTGGAATTTCCTCCAAACTGAGATTAACTGGACTCGATAAATCAAGTGCTGAGCAGTTACAAAATGCAAATGAGGGAATGGTGAAACAGCAGTGCGAAACTATCATCATAATAAGTAAGCAAAGGCAGATGGCAGTGAAAAAGCTCACTGACTTCAAAATAAGACTTATTTTGCACTGGTCCCCTGATAACAACAGATTGCCCTTTCATTCTTTGGTGGCCTCTCTAATGTAAAATTAAAAATCATCTTTGTGAAGAATTTTTCTGAACGGTCGGGGAACGACTGAATGACTTTTTACATAATTAACTCTGAATCATGCTGAATTATTGCTGCATGCATAACTACAAAATGCAGATGATCAATATCTTTATCATTCACTTCTTTAACAATCCATCTTCAACCAATTTATGTTAAACAGTATAATGAGCAATGGCAGCATCTTTCTTTAGTGAGACAGTGTTGCTAATGTTGGTGCTATATTTGGAGAAAAATTGAGAATTCTTGGAATAAACAAGATGATATTTTGGGATTCTAATCACACAAAATATACTGAACAAAACAAAGGAAAATAAGTTCCAGATATCTCAGCACAAATTCAGGTAACAGCTGAGCACCGGTATTGATCAGCTCCCACATATCCTGCACAGAGCTCAGAGAAGACTCCTATTACTGGAGCTTCAGTGTTAGTTGAGCTCAGTGAACAGTAATGGATTACTGGTCTTGGTTTGTGTGATTTGGCTGGGGACTGCTGCAGAGCAGCATCCACGCTCTGTGGAACTTCCTGGGATAAAGTGTTGATAATACAAAAAGAAAACAACAATACATTCTCCTCCTCCGCTTTAGAGCCTGGCTGACTGTAAGGGGCTGAATATTTTATCAGGATGACTCCCTGAAACTGGCAGAACTCTGACTAACCAAGCTCCTCCTCTCAGACTTGCACGTCACAGCATCTCCTACTGGAGAGAGTGGTATCCTTAAAAATGGCACAGACGAACTCAGTAACCCAACAGCAGGAGGCAGGCGGGCCGGACTTCTGTGTCTGTGTCATAAATTAACAATAAGTCACAATGTACAGAACAGACTACTCGAGTGGAGATACTGGCTTCTCTCCCTTATTTCAAAAGCAAGGCAGTAAAATGAGAAGATGGTGTGAATCAAGTCATAGTGTGAAAACATGCGACTTCCCTCGTGATGCTGTGACGTCTCCAGCTGTAATGTCCTACATAGTGCAACTTGTTATAAGTCAGTATAGGACAGATTCAGTGGTATCGAGCTGTAAGGTAACTAGTGCTATAAAAAGGTTTGGCCCATTTTTAAGTCCCCGGGACCTGCTGGGGAAATCTCAGCATGGAAAATCTACAAAAAAGGACGTTAACAAGGCACCTGCTGACCCAAAAGGAGCTTGAGTAAAAAGTGCTCATGAGCTAAAGACAGCTACCTGCTGGACTGATGTTTTTATTTCACTGCAGATTCTATTGTAAATCTTTGATTTTCGCAAGGTGCCTCCATGCTGTGAATGCATTGAAGGGCTCCATTCAACCATGCAAACATCATCTCATGCAATATTCAATACAGCTGGTCTTGTTCCTTCCACAGCCCAGAGGAGAAATGCTATTAGCGACGTGAGCAAAGGCTAGCACTCGGGATTACACTTTATCTTGGTGATAAGCGTGATTTTGACGAGTACTTTAATAAATATTTGGAGGCGGTAGTACTGAAAAGTATTAAATTGGTATCGTACAGATGAAAGAATGAAACATTTCCTCAGAGGACCTCTTATGTAACAAATCAGGAAAGAAAAACACGTAAGTTTGTCACATTGAACACATTTAAGTGTGTTCATTTTTATGTTTTCAGCTAAAAGAAAGATTTGTCAAAAGAAAAAAACAACACTAAGACAGTCATTT